AAGTATCAAATCCATTTAATAATGCTCTTTCCTTTAAAAATAGTACTTTCTATTGCCAACTTGCTGCATTTTATTTCTACGAAATGAATTGCATTCAATGGTGACAATAATGTTAATTATATTAGCGTGCGCAAAGAGGGGGTAGAGGTGTTCCCTGAAAATTTCGAAGGGGCCCCGCAGCCTTACGGAATTACCCGAATTTTTATCTATAAATACGTTAAAATATTGGTATCAATTTTAACTACAGTTTAGGGAATCCCATGTGAATAATACAATTGAAGAAGACTCTCTCCAAGCCACCTGCCAACCCTGTAAATAGTTCAGCATAAAATCAATTATATTAATTTATTCTACTATAAAAGTTAACTTTTTTCGTGTTTTATTTATTTACTAGGAAAATATGCCGTATGTAAATAAGAATATTTAATGAAAAAGGGATCCCAGAAGTGTAGTTGCTCCCTGTCTTGTTTTAGGCTATCTTTGTATATAGTGTTAAAAAGAGAATGTACCCAAAATGGGTCATGAAATGTCAATTCAGATAGCAGTCTTCCTTTGCAGGAAACAAGTATGGAGCCTTGGTGAATGTGTCCAGCTAAGTAGTACGATCTCACTATGTAGTGCATTTTTGAGAATTATAACGAAAATGATTGCAGTGATTACATGTTCTTTTATTCATATGGTTACAACTTTCAAAGGCACATACAAAAATGTAAGAACGCTAAAACTCATGTTAGCCTAAGCAGCTAGATATAATCATTTACTTTGGTTTCAAGCGATTCAAAATGAAGTTGCAATCAGCCCCAACATTAGTTTTCTGGTCTCAATTACCTAATGACCTAAATTATCTAATATTAACGTACAAGTCTCCCATTGCTGAGGCATTGTGACCTTGTCATTATCGCCCGAACGAGAGTATGGGAGAAAAAGGCAAAAAGAGGAACAGCAGGTTCGATAAAATACATCTTATCGCAATGCGAGTTGAAGAAAAAAAGTATTGATTTTGAAAATGTTACTTGATATAACTTAATTTGATAAATGAATGAGATAGTTGTGGCGTGTTTTCATTTAATTACTTTTTCATGCATGCTGCTATGCTAGAAACACAATAGCAAATTGTTTTCACGTGATGAAGGACTATATTTAGTTTTTAATCAAAGACGAAAAACTCTAAGTAATACTGTACTGTTATATCGGCTTAACTCAACCAAATAAAGCCACTCTTAACTGCCGGTGTTTTAAGGATTTTTCGTAATATTGACCTTTAATACATCTGCAACACGCAACCCCATAGCGGAATGAAAAGGTAATCTTCATGACAGCCGGTTATTAATTTCTATACAGCCGGTGGCCGCTAAGGAGCCAAGTTATTTTCGAACTATTTATTAAAGTTCATTTTTTTCATTTTTGCAATTCAGTGTAACTAGCACTCCGTTGCTCGTTTCTATAAAGTCAATGACACAAGTTCGACTAATCTTGAAATGGGACAAAGGGAGAAAGTGTGGCTAGGGGATGCCCTAAAAATACCAAAAATTACAATAACTCTAAGGAGCAATTGTTACAGGTAAAATTGTTCTAGTATGTTCTTACGATAAAATCTTGGTAAATGTGCGTCCGAAGCAAGAATCGAATAAACTTGAAATGGAAGAAGGCGTTGCACTACTACGTATTGAAAGCAACGTCGTTTCTTATTTAAATTATTTTTCCTTATAAGAAGATGGTATTATGAAAATTATGAGTCGATAAACGGCCGATATCACAAGTAACAGACTTGCTTGGTGTTTTTGGGCCTAATGACATTAATAAATATTTCAGGCATGAGAAACAGCTGAGAGCACGTGTTCAAATATAACCAAATGCACGTTCGAAATTGTCGCTCTCATATCGAATACACGTAAAACCAAATCACAATTCCCAATACTATTCGATTAGTTAAGCATTTTTCAAAGTCAAGATGGTGAACTTATACACAACATAGACCTGTGTACAACATCGAGCACAGACGTGCGTTTGGTCTCAAGGCTGAGAAGAAATTTGTCGAACATGCTCGTATTCAAGCGGAAAGAATGGATTCTCTTGACAACTACGTAACTACCGCACGTCGTCAGAGGAAAAGAGAAGCAAACATCTCTTACGGTATAGTTCTTCAAATAAACATCCTTACATAACATCCCACTAGCGGCCAATGGCAGGTCAGTCACCCCTTGACACAAACTGCTACCACGCTAGAGTAATGCAATAAAATCATATCACCGCGTGCAAAGCAACCTTATCTCCATTGCCGTTCCAGAGGCCTAGTTTAAAGGCCCGGGGAAACGGCCTGCCAGAAACGCGAGGCGAGCTTTAAAGGGGACACACTGATCGCAATGTGTATTCCACTAAAGAGCGCGAAGTCCGCATGATCTACGAGTAGAGAAGAACGTAGAGGCATACTATGGTTGATGTGGTGACATTACCCTACAAAACAGTTATGTCTTGTTTGCCTTATTATTCATTCAAATCAGCGGAAAAGCTGTAAGTAAACCTTCATGTCGGAGGGAGCGGCACTCCCTTACCTTTTGCGAAGAAATGAAAATTTAAAAATGCAATATTTGCCACTTCTTTTCTGGACCTAGTTCTATATTATGTGCAATGCCTTGGCAATAGCTAAAAAATTGAATATTACAATAAAATATGTTTATGTCCAGGCTTTGATGTTTTCTCATTTTCATCAGGCCTATTAAACAAATATATGGTAGTAACTTATAATCCAATATTTTAGAAAAATTAAAATGATCATTGTATATGTAACCATCAAAAACCTAGGAAAGCTTTCCCTAAAAAGATTTAGTGTTCCAAAATGGCAATCGAAACAGACTCGGGCACTTGGGATTATAGACATCCCTGCCCTCGTGCATACGATCAAATACAGAAAGCAAACGCTGCGAAACCGAAGTGGAAAGAGACTTTGGCTTATTGCAGTGTCCAAAGTCATCCATGTTTGCTTAATTAAATTCATTAGTTGAATGTTTAAATATTCCTAACGACGTATTTTTTCAACAAGAAGTTTACGATTAATTCTGAGTTTTCATTTCTATATTTCATCTTAACATTATTTTATTTTTTATGTATACCATTACTCCTATGAACATTCATTATGAAACACTATGTACGCAACTTCCTCGAAAGAGAAATTTCACAATGCAAATATCCTTCAAAAATGCAGTTGAAGTAATTTCAATGAACATAAAACGTCGATTGCTTTGGTCATTTAAAACATGCCGAAACGTTAGTGTGAAATATGGTCGTAAGGGATAATCGGCTTAACAGTATAAGAGTTATTTTTTCGTAGCCGCTATAACCAGCAAAGAGGCAGAGTATTAACTTGCTAGGAAGTTCATATGCCGAGAGAGACTCCTCTTCACTGCTAAAGTCACATTTCACAAAACCACGGTTATCGCACAAGTGCCCTGACTTCACAAACCTAAGCGTCGATGGCCATCTACGTGTCATCCCTTAACAAGGAGCTCACAATGGAAGAGTTTTCCTACAGGATTTGTTGAAGGAAATTTGCATTACAATGCCCCTCCCCGATCACCGTTGTCAGATAATTACACGTTGTAATGTCGGCCAAGCTTGGTCAGAAATATCAAGAAGTTGATTGATTTTATCTCCGCGTTGCCGCACACAAAGGACTGATGGATAACACAGTCCTGCAAATTTAAGGTTCATGAAAACTTTTTTTTTTAAATTCCTAGTTTATTACACTGACAATTTCATTACTGATCTCATTTTTATTCCAGCATGTACAATTTTTGCACACCGCGATCTGATGTTTTTAAGTATTCAAAATTTGCCTTCCTTAGTTATTAAGGATTTTAGTTTTCTTTTAAGGTTTTCGATTAAGGTTTTCTAAAAAAATGAATTCCTAGGATTTAACAATATGAAGGGATTGGTTTTAATAGAATTGCAACATTTCAAGAAAAAATTCCACTAAAATTGGTAAAATTTTTGAATGAAAATTTTGTCTGCTTTTTACCGAAATTTCCCGTTTACATTATTTTGCACGATACCAGATCCAACAGCTTTTCTGCTTGAAAAATAATACATTATTATAAAAAATAAACTCAAGGAAATAATTGAATGTGCAGATTGTCCCTTGTATGAATTGAGAAATGACTCTTGGAATCCTTAGGAGAGAAAGAAGATTTCGTCAACTTTCATTCAAACATTTGTCACTGCAACATGACGGCTTGTGTCTGTATATTTAGTAAAGTAGGATGTTATATATATCTTATAAATTCATATATAATTAAAATATCTATTTAATACAGAACATGACAGCTTCCGAACGTCAAGCATTATTTTAGAAAATAAATTATATGCATTTTTATGAATTTAAGTCCTTTACAATCTATATATATGGGCACATAAGGTCATTGTACGGATCAGTAGCATTGTCTGGCGTTCCTTGATTTTTTTTTCTTCGCCTGTTTTTGAAATTGCTAATGATATTACACTCTGGCAACTTTCAATCGAGTGACATTCTGCCCGTTTTTTACAGAGTCTCGACTCGTGGGCAGCGAGGTCGGCTCATGACTGTGTAGAACATCCTTTCGATGCATTTTTGCTGACACGGCAGCAGCTGCTCAGTCGGCTGTCCATTTCGAATTGTTCACGCGGAATGAGTGCGCTTTCTTGCAGAACAAGCATTATTCATAATGATGGTATCCGAATACAGAACAAATTACATAACAGTTATTTCATTTCACACTTATTGGATCGAATGAATTTCAATTTCACCAAGATGTCTAAAGTAATTCAATATTACCTTAAGGGAGTCCAGGAGATTTTTTAAAATATGAAAATACATCAGAAAAATGATCTTAGTTTTGAACATTTAAGAAAAAAAACAATGATATTGCAACTCACCCCTCCCCCGACACTCCATAAAGAAATATATGGGCAAATCTAGCGATGGCCATGCAAAAATGCCGCGCCTCGCCTCTGATAAAAATGTTGTAATGTCATTATTACACAGAGGAATTAGTTCCAACGATAGCGCTTTGCAAATTAATTATTTAACATGAGATATGAAAATTATATTTGAAACAGCATTGAATTTCTTATTTTTCCGAGATATTGAATTATTTACGAATTCAGTAAGACATTTCGCGGCCTTGTAGAAGCTGCAGTTCCCTCACAATTTTATTCCGGTACCGGAAATGTACATAAATTAGTGATCAGCAGCAGTAAAAATGCTGCTGAACAAAACCACGTGTTGTAGCATTTGTCCCAGGGTATTTATACACCTATCATATGGCCGGAGGCTGTAATTTCAATTCCTCCCCGGAGGATTTTACTCCCTTAAGTGAGCACCTAGGGGCTAGCCTTCTTCCGCACTCCCCGCGGGCATGCGAGTACGCCTTTGGGCTGACATCCGGATACCCCGGCACCCCGGCGGGGCGCCTCCTCCGTTAAGCCTGGAAGGGGGCACTCTGCCAGCTCCGACCTACTAGCTGGCCGGGCTAGCCCTGCAGTCTGATTAAGCGCCATTCACAACACGCCGGGACGAATCCCTACTCAATTGCCCACGAGTATCGGGCACTGCAACGACGAAGCCAAGGGCCGAATTGGGGGTCGGGCAGACCGAGGCCCGGGTGGCTCGGGGCCACCAACCCGTCTCTTCACTGCATCCACTTCGACGCTATCGACGCGAGTCTCAGACCTTTCGGCCATCAGCCGCCCTCCCCCGGCGCTAAGACCAGATTGATTTCTAAAATATTTCACTGGAGGCCAGAAGCGGTGCGACAGAACTGTTGTTTAGTAGATTCGTTAGATCAGTGGCAATGTGAAAGATAAAAAAATGTTACTCTAATAACAATGTGCTGAAAAATGAAAGATAATTACAGTGTTTTGCTAAAATTTGAACCAATTATATTAAAAATAATAATCTTAAATACCGTGGTTTATATAAAATTGATTAAGGACGGGATGTGAAGAAATCCCAGGAAACTACGGATATTTTGCTAGTTAGTAGTGAAAATGTTTTCATATTTTTTCCAGGATCCAGGGCGTCTAAAGAAACCATAGATACATCTCACATGGCCGGAGGTAGATTATTTTCATTTTATTTTCCGGACGCATTCAAAATTAGTAATATTGATATTGTAACTTATGTACTATTGCTTCTAGTGACTTGAAGTAGGAAAAGCTACTCGTCTATTTGTCTACATTAGCAGTACTAATGAACCGACGATTCTTTCCATTGGCGCTACAAAGCTATTGCGCTGGGTCTTGACCTGCCCTTTGGCAGTACTGCCGGAGTTATTCGCATTTCACACATTTTTTATTCCATAAGACTTATGAAAGTTATTTCAGACTGACAGTGACAACATTAAATAACATTGTGCAACAATTATCAAAGACAATTCGGTTTTTTCAAATGTAAAATATAGTGGCAATAGAACGCAAAGCCATGTGGCTTTTCAGTTGTTGGGAGAGAGAGAAATTTCAACCAAAGATGATACAAAAGGGGTGGCTATGGCGACCTTCCTTAAACATTACAATTAAAGGAATGCATACTATATAGACACCAAGGGTACATTTGTTAGCTATCCATAGAGTATTGCTAATTTCAGTAACTTCAGCGGGTCGGTTTATACCTAGGTTGAAATGGGATGACCCGGACATTGGATAATTTTGAAAAACAAATTATGAGAGATGTTTGCGATTATCAATTGTGCATATTCTTATTACTTACGTGCCAAGGGTCGTTTACTGCTATTCTGAGGGCCTTGTTCTTGAAGGCACGAATTTGTTGGAAGGTACAGGGGCAGCGTTACACCAGGCTGGTCAAGCGTACACCAGCAGCAAACAGCAGCGCGCGGCCGCCTGTGAGACGTGTGTGGCACCGGCCGTTGGGGACGCAGCGGGGACCGTGGAGCCGCTGGTTTTTGTCGCCAGGGTACGCAGAGCCTAGCCGCCACGGACGCGTTGAGCAAAGTCGGTTCCGTGGCGAAATGTGCAGTGTGAATAGTGTGCTGTGAAGAGTGCGCTTGATAGATAGGACTGGTAAATAAGTATGACTTACGTATGAGTGAAAAAAAAGGAAAGAAACAGGACTAAAGAAAGAAAGAAACTATAAGAGAAGAGGAATAGAAAAAAAACTATTCCTTGTGTATGTATACCCCTTAGGTGGCCGGCCAAAACACCGGCTACCGGTTAAGTTAGTAGTACTGCCTCATTTTTTGCTGTAAAAGCCAAAGAGTTTCGGCGCATGTATCCCTCATGGTAATAAATGACCGCTAGGGCCACTGGCTGGGGACAATAAAAACTAGTAGCCGGCGTAAAATAGATTTATTCACACTAACTCTACACAACGCTTTCTTCCATAATAAAATATGCGAGTTCTGTCGTTTTAATTAGCATCAGAGTCTTTGAACAATCAGAGCTACAGTCTTTCGCCCCCCCCCCCCACCTTTGATTTTCCTTTTGGGAGCACTGCTTCCGCAAGTGTTGTGGGCTGTTGACGTTCCCATGGCAGCGTCCGTACAATGGCGTCGCGCAGGGCGTTCGAACCGCGCCTCCCGTGCGCCCCTCGCGCCGCTGCGTGAAGGTCGCGTGCCCCAGAGCCGCCACGCGCGACTTGGCACATTCTGTCGCAAGCTATCGACTCGCGGCGCCCCCTTTCCTCCCTCGGCCATTCACGGGCCTTTGACGTGTCGCATTGCTGGAAAAACTCACTAACATCAATTAAACCTGAAGTGTAATTCTCTTTGCGGATGATACGAACATTATTTGCAATAAAGAAACCGTAAATAGTTCAATATCAGATATTTCAAATTGCTTCCGTAATAACACATTAATAGTAAATGGAAAGAAAACTCTTTAAAACAGTTTTCCGTTTCAAATAAACAGCTCTGTAATCCATTGAAAATGAACGGTGAAAATGACTGATGTTGAAGTAACAAAATTTTAGGTCTTTCAATTCAGTCAAACCTAAAATGGAACGTACTTTTAAATGAATCTAACACTAAATTAAGTTCATTATGCTACGCTTCCCGAATTCTTTGAAATTCTGTCAGCCTTCTTACTGTTCGTTGTGTATATTTTGCGAATGTTCATTCCCGCCTGAGATATGGCATAATGTTCTGGGGAAATACATCTTATAGCTCCCAGACTTTTAGATTACAAAAAAGAATTCTACGAATAATAAGCAAATCTCACCCACGTGATTCTTGTAAACCTCTCTTTATCAATCAAGGTATCTTACCCTTACTTTGTCTCTTCATACATGAATCAGTGGTTTTTATTAAAAATGACTCAAGGGCGGGACTATATTTTCAGCAAACGCCGTTGTTTATAACTACAACACTCGACGTAGTAATCATAATCATCAGGTGACAGTATCAACAGCTCAGTACAATCAATTCACACACAATACATGTACATTATTTTACAACACCTTACCAGATGGCATTAAACGATTAAATTTGATACAAAAGTTTAAGTCCCAAGTAAAATATTTTCTGCTACACAACTATTTCTATACAATTAGAGACTATACAGAGCATCCAAAAAGAAATTAATATTAATTTTAGCAACGACATTTAGTGTATTATTTACCATTTAGAATGTATAATTCTAAAGAACTTGTAACAAGTATATTACTTCAGCGTCTGGGTCAATGAACCCCATCTCGATCAGGTTTTCGTCCAGTTTCCCAGATTCTTGAGCAAATGCTGAGATGGCCTCTTGTTTTGCTTCTGGATATAAATTTAACTTCTCCTCATATGACGTCACACTCATTTTAACTGTTTTTAACGTAAATGATAAATAGTCCGCTTATGGACGTAGTCTAACTTTTATGTTAACGCCATGCTTGTGTTTAGGTTTGCATTGTGAATGGGCCTTGATAATTGGTCGGCTGCGTCGGATGTTTTCGCACAGAACCAGAAAGTTTGTGCAGAATATAGAACTGTGTTTCCGAGATCGGGCGGTAGGCTCTCAATTCCAAACAATAATATTAGCGATTCCTTAGCGATCTAATTGTTTTTGGACTATTTATCAAATTATTTATCAAAAATGTGATTACATCGCACGTGAGCGGCAATTGTGGGACAACTCAAAAAATACGACTTTTGTAATACTGCAATTGCAGACTGGTCTATCGCCTACCAGCAACTGCGTATCTTACAGTTCAGTATTCCACAAACAAATGGAAGAAGTGTGAATTCAAGTACAATGCATTTCAATTCAACAGCCTCTGACCGGGTGGTCCCAGGTTCGAGCCCCCACGGTGGCAGGATTTTCGACACTAGCTATAATAGAATTAACACCAGTCGAAAGTCGGAGCAGTACCGAAGCAAACGGGCCACAGACCGCGCGTGATCTTTTAATTCCTTGTCCTGTTCTACCCCTTACTTACGCACACTTACACTTACATGCATTACACTACCTCACATCTCAGGAGACCGGTCGAGGACTTAGGGCTTGATCCAGCAGAGGCGGTGCCTCGCTGGATACCTGATTGAAGGAAAACCCGCAAGCAGACAATAGGTCGGAGCCGGATCTCGCCATCTAGCTGGGGAAGATCACCGCCACCTCCCGAACAAAAACATTCACTGCACTTACGGGAATAATGGCCTTAGCCGTTGACGCGCCCGGAATCACTAATCAATCAATACAAAGTGAAAACTTCAAACTCATTTATTTCAACAACTTATTTTTTACGTTGTACTAGTTGTAAGTAGTCTAAAATACTTAAAACACAATATTTTTATTATTTTGCTCTGTCATCGCCGCATCAATCAATAGCTGGACGCCTCACCACTGAGATGTATCCCATAAATGGATATTTTTTACCGATTCGCATGGTATGCCAATTCTACCAAAAAATGCACGTACAAAATTTCTGGAACCAAGATTTAATAAAATTCTACAAGCGCACTTTTCGATTCAATATTGTAGTGTTTACAAACTATTTGCAATTATAAAATCAAATTCCAAGAAAGCTGTCCAACAAAGTCGAGTCAAAGGAAAAATTATTAAAAAATACGTGTTATAATTCACCTCAAAATAAAATCGCTGAAGATTTTCACATCTTTTTAGAAAAAAACATACTTCTGAGGGAAGACAAAAATACTCCTAAAGTCAAGCAATGATTCTCTCCAGAATAATGCGTTGAAATTTCGTATTAATGATTTATATAAACGTCAAAGAAAGGACAATTTTCGTAACAAAAATGCTCCTAATGAATGGCCACGAGAAAGTGAAATGCCCCTAGTTGTTAGAATGCAATACAATATCCGCTAGGCATATAGCAATTTATTTAATAGAACAAAGCATGGCGGACATGGTAGGAAAATCTTATATCAGGTTGCAAATATTACTATTTTCAAACTATAAATGTAACATCTTTAACACGATATATTTTAATACCAATGTGATAAATTGAAGTAGGAAAAACTGGGGTGAATGGTAGCCACGGATTAGCATTAACTGAATTCTACACATTCATTTTCCTCCCATTTCACACTAATGACATTCCGTGACACAGTTTAGAACCGAAAGAAGCTTACTCCCGTCGGGTACTCAGAAATTACGTGTAGAAAACTTGTTTTCACAGGCAGCCAACTCATTTCGAAAATGGTCCGATTGTCATGTACATATTTACAGGTATGAAACACATGCATTCATACGTTTTCCCTGCGTTTACAAAACTTTCGAACCAGTTAAAAGCATTTTTATTTTACATATTTTGGTAAAATTACATATTTTCATAGAGGTGTTCAGCATAAATTATGAGAGAGGGTTACTACATATCTAGACCCTCTTTTCCATTAAACTTTTTTTATTTACACATTATATATTTCACCAGAAAATAAATAAAACGTCCAGGATAATGGAATTATAACTAAAAAAACAATAAATACAATATAAGTTGAACAATTTAAAAATTGCTTGATGGCTTGCAGAGACTCTTCCCTCAATGTATAACATTTTTCCAAATTGAAACGTGAAAATGGGGGAACTAGGGGATTCAATGAATAAAATAGAATAAATAATAATAATAATAATAATAAGTGTTATAAAGCCAAGGCAGTAGTGCCGTAGCGGTCTCGGACTAGAAGATCGCAGATTCGAGTCCCGCCTCGCACATGGATGTATTTGTGTTTGTATGTGTTGTCCTCCCACCCCTCATTATCATACCATTTCATCTTCCATACCCCCAGGGCTAACAACCCTGGGGGATAAAAATCGGATCTAGCTGAATGCTGTTCCCCTGATAAAAATGACATGCACCTGCCACCGAGATAATGTTTCTGAGCCCGGGTTAATGCAGGGTGCATTCACGCGTAGTTGAAGTCGGACTATTTGCGAGCAAAAAAATACTTATTACGTATGGCTAAGAGTATCCTTTCAAAATTGCCAGTAGGGCCACGGACGCTGTGCGCATTTTATCTAGAATTACGTGTGCATTTCGTTACATTTGGAAACGGAATATCTCAGATACGATATGTTCCAAGAATCGTCTTTCTAATAAAGTATGTACTGCGCTTCTATGACCTCCGTCATGACCAGTCATTCGTCGTGACAAGTCAAGTTTACACTTCATTTCTCAATAATCACACACTCTGAATAAAAAATGCTTGGAAATTTGGCATGCAAAAGTATTCGCAACCACATGCTTGCTCACATTTCAGGGTGGCAAAAAATACGGAAAAATTCTAACAATGACGTCACGATTTTGAAAATATATTTTCCAGGGAAATTACATTAAAATATTCAGATCAGGTATCTAGTTTCTAAGGTAAGTGTAGGTTGTTGGCTAGTAGTGGTTGTCGGTGCCAGTGAAATAAACGACAATTCCCAAAGAGCATCTCCATTTCCTAACTAAAAATTCTCTGTGTAAGAAGATTTAATTACAGTCAAATGTTAAAAAAGGTTAAAGAATCATTACTTTCTTCATCATTACTTCAAAGAGAATTTGAAGTACCTGCTTTTAGATTCTGAACGTCCGCAGTCTATAATCGCCCCCAGAAACTCCATAAAAACCCTTTTCCCAAGAAAACTGTTCTTCCACAGAAACGTATTACAATAAGATAAAATCAATAGCCTTCAACTCTTCACTTCACATACCGAAATAAAAAAAAATCAATACATGACAACTTTTTGGGTACCCTGAATCTTAAAATGACTTGTTTTATAAGCCATGTATATAAAGAATTGTGCATATCGATCTGAAATTAAAAACCTCCACGATTTGTTTGCCAGCCGTCTTCCAAGAAATCAGGAAAACCAACCGCCGAAGACGATCACTCTTCACCACGACAATGCACTCCACACATCGGCTCAAACAACTGCATTTTGAGCACCCAAAACATCGATTCATGGTCATCCGCCCATAGTTCGACTTGCACTGATTGACCTTTTTAATTCCCGTCCTAAAAAACAAACTTGAAGGTCAACGTTTTTCCGACAACCTGAAGAACGTTGCTGCATTCAGAATGCATGTTTTGAGAAGATACCTCAATCAGATGGGCAAAAGTGCTTCGACAATTGGTTCAATGCAATACAAAAGTGTATAGATCTTCATGGGGATATTTTGAAAAACATAAAGTATTTCGATATTAATATTCGTTTTTTCTCTAATCCTGAAATATAAAAGGCAACCCTTGTAATATTTTCACTTTCTCGAGAAACTTAATCATCTTCTAGTACAAGAGATGGATGAATAGTTGTAGATTTTTTCTATAATAACTCGAGATAATTCATCATATCATAGATAAGTAGACATTTTCTGTTATTATTTACTTTAACACAACTTCAGTAGTACATCAGTAGTATACCAAAGGTTAAACAAAACAAACTTCAATATGTTCTTGAAAGAATATAACTCTGTTATCAATATAAATTTACAAAAATAAAATAAGACATACATAACTACAGACAAACTTAATAAAATATGAAGCATACTTGAATTATTTACATAAATACTCTTTGTGTCCCCCATCGACAGCATTGCATATTTGCAATCGTGAGTGCTAGGGCTGACGAACTGACCGCATTTTCAAGAGCTATAAACCGATGGTTTGGAATTTGAATTCGTAGAAGAAAAGATAATTTCTGATGAACGGACGGATTTTTTTTTCATTCCGTCCGTTTTTATTGATGTTTGTTCCTGTATCCTTCGGGTCAAGAGCATGAATTGCTGGAGCTACGCTTCTAACCCTCATTACCACCCCTGTAAGTCACCTCCCTTCGCCTTTGGAGAAGGCCACCTAAGGCGACAATTACAAGGGCTCCAAACGGAACTATTCTCCATTTAATTTAAAAACACGCCCTGAAGTGTAATTTCATACTCAAATTACTTCCAAAACATTGAGAAATAATAGATCATTGCATTCCTTGTTTTATGATTATATATTTCTAGTGAGAAAAATATAGGTAGTATGGCTTCATTTTAAAACTATGAATAAATTTCTCGTAAACTAAAAAAAAAATACCAACAATATTTCTACTTCTCAAACTTGTCTCATGATTCAACATTGAAGAGCAATAATTGTATTTTGATATTGTGAAGCTATGGGGAATGGTTAATGGTTGGTGAAGTACAAACGACATAGAATGTCACGTAATGCTGAAAATATCAAATACCAAAAACTTGTCTGAACAACACAAACACCTAACCTATACCCAGGATTTTTCCTCAATTCAATATTCCTTGATCTTCCGAACTCAATGCTTTCCGAAACTTTTATAGTCTGCGTAACAGAAAAGTATTATTTTCGTAATACTAACTGTGAAATCGACAGTATCACAAACAGGAATAAAAACCCTGTGAACAGCCATCGCCCGTTAAGTATGTAGTATTTAACAGAAGGTCGTCCGGTAAGAATCAAAACAAATTAATTGTAGCTAAAGATGGTATACGAGTACTCTTATTCCAAGAAATGGTTTTTGTGGTGGAAGAGGGTCAGAAACTGTCAGTGGGGAGGAATTGTCCACTTCGCCCTCGGGATTTCGCTCCTTGATGAACAGCCTTCAAATATAAAATAAAACTGATACGAAGTGAGCTTAAAAGCATCCGGCTAGAATAGAATAAAACGGGACCTTTTATTAGGGAATATTCTTTCCAAGTTTTTTTTCAATAAGCTAACATTAAAACGGGTTTGGTGTATTTGTGGTCATTTAAGAATTTCGACTTATTACACTATACATTTGCCAATAATAAAAGCATTTCTAAAGTTCATTGCAATGGCATAAGTAGCGAGAGACATTTTTTATTTTAATTCAATTAGTATTATAATAGTAACGGGCTTATATCCCTAAAATTGATAAAAGTATATCCATTATTTTAAGAATGATTTTTAATATCTAACAGTGTAATGCAAAACTGTCCTTGTTCAATGTATAATGGAGGGGAAAATCCCTCTAAACTAAATTATTTTACCTTTCTCTGAACATTTTACATACCTGCCATGCCTCTTATTGTCCTGAAAACTGTGAGTCTGATCCACTTTGAATGAGCGAGCAGCATCCCAAACGTCAGAAGAAAGTTTTGAGTTTGATCCAGCTTTGCGTGACAGGTTCCTCTATCGCAGACTAGCGAGGAGGATCGCCGCCGTGTTAGCCCCCACCAGTCCGCTTTAGTGCTCACGCCAACGACCAGCCACAAAAAAAGGCGACCCACTCCCCCAGCCACTATATCAAGCCGGTTCCCTGCTTTCACGCTTCAGTCTCCGTCGGTCTCCGCTTCGTGGTTAGCGCGTGCAGTGTATTTTGTTTTGCTCCAGGGTTGGTCGGTGAGTACACAGCAGTCGAAGACCGCTAAATGAAGTGATTCCTATCCGGCTTCCGAGGAACAATGCCGTATTTCCTTGATAATAAACTTTTTTCTCTAGCGAGAGATGTTGAAGATGCCTTCGATTAGATGTTGACGTTGGTTAAAGAAGCCAGGAGTTTGAAAGCAATCTCGTTATATGCCGAAAAAATTATATTTTTAACATTTTTCTTTAATATCGCCGTTTTGTGACTGCTCTTCGATACCATATATCTGTATTAACAGCAATCTAAAAATATCTCTATCGCCCGTAATTTATTTTACCAAATTAATATAGTTAAAAAAACTTTTGAAAAATTTACTGTCGATGGAAGATGGATGTTATTAACACTAGCTATCAAGGTCCCGTGGATACAGGAGGGCTCCGAAGTCTACCGGTTAAATTTTGAAATTGACATTTTTGACGATTTCTATAATTATGAAAATGATATAACTAATAATATACATGTGCATTAATTTAAACCAAAAAATTGTTTCTGGCTCTACAAAAGAAAAAAAAATACTTTCTCACATCAATATTTGTATCAATGATGAATCTATTACATTTTTAAGAGGGGGGGAGAGGCATATGAATCTTCACAACATGGTAACATTTTCTATCAAACTACACCTGTACTTCAAATATTTCAAAAAAGTGTTTTGGCTCTTCAATTTTTTAGTAAAATGTTCCAATTTTTTTAATCCACAACTAATGATGCTGTAATACATTATAATGAAACACTTGTAATGAATTGATCAGATTTTGATTTTTAAAAGTTTCATTAACAATATCAATGATTTTTTTGTTTCCTGAAACGTTTGTTAAAAACAATCATTGGCCCTCTGATGACTCCCCATTGATCTTCTTTCTACTCTAGGATAAAACATTTTCTTATAAGGAAGATTTTTATGCCATTTCAAATGTTTACAGCAGTAGCATTGTTTCAAGATGCCCATTGACTTTTATTACATTCCTGGAAGTGCTCCATGCAGATCAGTTCTGCTTACTGCTAAAGCTGTTGGTGTGGAATTGAACTTAAAGCTAACTAATCTCATGGCTGGTGACCATCTAAAACCAGATTTTCTCAAGGTATTTTTCAAAAATTAATTTCAGTGAGTTGTGAAAATATCACATTTTCTAATTGACATTTAATTAAATAATTTTCAGCTTAATCCACAACACACAATTCCCACTTTGGATGACAATGGATTTGTTCTTTGGGAAAGGTACAAACAGCAAATAATTTACTGCTAATAATGTGATTAATATAATTTAAACATTTTTAAATTCAATTTTTCTTCTAGTCGTGCAATTATGGGATATCTTGTGCAACAGTATGGAAAAGATGATTCACTGTACCCCAAAGAACCTAAGAAGAGAGCTCTAGTTGATGCCCGATTATATTTTGACATTGGAACATTGTATCAAAGATTTGCCGAATATTATGTACGTTAAACTTAATATATTTTGACATTCTCATTCCAACGATTGACAAAATAATAACATGTGATATTGCAGTATCCTGTCATTTTTGCGGGAGCTTCATTTGACCCAGATAAGTTAGCAAAGTTAGAAGAGGCTTATTTCTTCTTGGATAAGTTCCTTGAGGGACAATCTTGGATTGCAGGAGATAGCCTCACAATAGCTGACCTTGCAATTGCAGCATCAGTGTCAACTGCAGATGTAAGTACAGGATTAGTAATTACTGTGGAAATGGGTATTCCTGAATCAATAATACCTGAAAATCATTTCAATTTCAGATTGTCGGTTTTGATATTAGCAAGTATCCAAATGTCACAAAATGGTTTGCAAAAGCTAAAACAGCAATTCCTGGATATGATGAACTGAACCATTCAGGATGTGTGCAATTCAAGAAAATGTTTGATAATCTTACAGCAGGGAAATGAATGTGTACTGACTCGTTGCAGTAACAAAGACAACTTACTTTTAAATGAACTATTTCAATTTTTGTCACACATTAAAGCAGTCTGTCGGAGAGAATAGTGTTACTTTTCTAGAAAAACTTCACCCAGCTACTTGAAAAGAAAGAAGGAAAACCTCTGGAAATGTAAAGGGTTATTCATACGCTAAAACACTGTTGCTTAAAGAAAAATTGTATTTTGTTGTATAAAATAAAGTCTCCATTCTTATTAATCTTATTTACATAAAACAGCACATCTTTCCCCATACCTTACAAACCTTGGAGTACATTTTAACTATGAAACATCCAATCTGCATTTAAACTATTTTGATTTTATCCTGAGAAGTTTGCAAATACTGACTCGCACCACTATTTCAATGTGACAATGCTTGAAGCAAATTTAAGAGCACAAAATGCAGAGAATTCAGTTCAATTAAATATTTCTTAAATATTCTTGAATTTGTCTTTTATTGGATTAATTACAGCTCATTAATATTAATCAAGCTTATTTCCAAGCTATATTCTACAAGCACCTACAAAAAACTGTCTTTGAAGATCACAGGTACAAATCTTTGGATCATATACATATGAAACCTGAAATCTTATCACACTCGCAGAACCCTTTATTTTAAATAAAATTGCAGTTCTATATGTCATATATATATGTATGTACAAACAAATATACAAAGGATGCTACCAATTTTCTGTGAGGTAGGATCGTCCTTGATTTTGCAAAACGTTCATAAAAAGACAATGCAAATAATCTCATGATATATCCAAAGAGTACTTAGAATTGGACTTTTACAAATGTCTACAAAATTCAAACACACCCGCATTCATTCTATTTTTACAATAACCTTTATATATTTACATTGAAAAGACTAACAAGTCATTTTAACCTATAGAAGACTGGCACCCTTTCTTAAACCTTTTGCCAAGTAGTATGCCTTAAAAGTTGTTCTACCTCCTTGTTGTGCATGCCAGAAATACATGGTACTCTTATCAAGCCGCACTGATATCCTGCAGCTAGCCACAAGAAACTACGGCAATTTGGATTCCACTTGACCTAAAACAACATAAATATTTGGTGAACATAAATGCTCAAAACAAATTACGGCAATGCAAGCATTATTCTTAAAATAACATGAAGAAAACTGATAAAACAGATTTTCTTACTTTATTAAGTGAAGTAACAGGATATATTTCAACAGGAGCTGTCTTCATAGTTTCTGACTTTCTGGTCCAAAGTCGAGAAGCAGCAGGAATGGTTGACAAATTATTCTGAATACCAAAAAAATGTAAATATCAGAAGAATAAAAAGATTAAATACAAGTAACCAAAAAACCAAAGAAAAAAAAAAACTTACAGCAGGGAAATCACAGAATATCATTCCAAATTTGCTTTCAACAGCTTCATAATCATCAGATGGAATAGTAAACATGGAATCATCATCCTGTACGGCTTTTGCAGATCCACTACTTTCTTGTGAACAATTTTCAGTTTTTATATCGTCATTCACACTTCCAACAATCATCAAAAATTCTTTCACAGTGTCATTGCTATTACTTTTCTTTTTTTCATTATTATAATATGGAAAAGTCACTTTCAGTCTTGATGTCACATTGAGTCTCTCCAAATCCTTTTTAAAGGTGAAAAGTAACCGTTTTTCATGTTGATTCAACATAGATATACATTCTATGTTTTCAAGTGAATCACTTCCTTCATTTACATTGTCATTCGCAAAAGAAGAATCTGAGACTGATGTTGAATCACATATTTGTTCTGACAATGGTGTTATAACACATTTTTTGCCTTTACGAGGATTTCTTTCAATGACAAAACTTAGACCACCCTTCTCACTTTCGTCTTTCTCTTCTAGTTGAAACATTACTTTTTCATATTCTGAAGGATTTTTGGATTTATTGCTTTCTATCTCCTTTTGTAAATCACCAAGCTGTTGTTTTTTACAAGGTACAGAACATGAAGATTCACATTTGTGTTTTTCAGTTTCATTCACAATATCTTTCAGTTCAACATAACTCAATATCTGAAACCACAATTCACAAATAAAACTAGGGAATGGACTTTTAAGTAAAAGCACATAGTACAATCTAAAAAGGTTCATCTGCAGATACAAAATAAAATTTAAAAAAATTCACTACATTACATATTTGGGCTTTGTACAAATACTGCACTTGATCTCATAATGTTTTGCCCTATGCATGTCATATGTCAAAATGTTTACCAAATTCCCATCTTGAGAAACATCATTTTGTCTTTCTGTTAACTTTGTTTCATTCACTGATCACTACTGCTTCAAACTGCCTCTTTGTGATTTGAGTTTTGTCGAAGTGCATTCGTCTGGGCATTTTTAGCTTGTGAGATGGATGCGAGTGTATAGAGGGGAGTGAATGTGTTTATGTGCACATGCATGTGTGCATTTTGTTAGTTTTAATGTCTGACTTTCATTTAAGTAAGTTGTCACTATTGCCTCTGGTTGCCAAAAGTTCACAAGAAATCCCTAACAAGTGCAATAGCATAAAATCCAATATTTGTTTCAATAAATTTAAAAGTGCATTTCAGCTAGTATTATTTATTAATTACATCTTTTGACCTTCTTAAATGGAAATCCAATATTTTATGACTTCTACTTACCAGCCTCTTGTCTTTATTTCCTTTCTCCGTGTCCACATTTAAAAACAACTGATGGGGAAAGATCACTGTTAATTCTCCTGCATGTGTACTCTGTGCAATACCATTAACCCAATCAGTTGTGGACAATGACTGAAATTCAAATTACAATAAATTTTGAATACTCAAAAATATACAGAGACAATAATTCCATTCACTACTAATTCACAATAAGTCTGCACTAACTACTCACCCATGTCACTGAATTTTGTGGTAATAAAGGAAATAGTTTAAAACCATATCCACGTGGAGGATTCAAAGTAGTATTACAATGACCCATACTGGAAAACAAACAGGGGTAGCATTGAAACCATGCAACCATTAAAAATAACATTGCCAGGTGCAAGAGTGTGAAAAATTATATACACACTAAGTCTATTGATTCACATCAAATGCACTAAGGATATTACAATACCAAGAGCAATAGCACAAAATCGAAGCGCTATTTACAATCAAGAATTGAACTGTGTGGCCAAAAATTAGGACAAGACAAACAAAAATCACAAGAATTATGAACAGAGACAAACTGTTGGTGAAGGGGTTGGGGAGAGAGAGGAAAAGAGTGTGTGTAATACACATGCCCCATTTTGTCAGAAGAGACAAAACAGGCTTGTTCAATTAAATGGAGCATCCTGCACACTCTAGCAAACTTTTTGACGAAACCGAATCATGAGACCCAATAATTGAAGCCTATATTTTGATAAAGGTTTTCTCAAGTTGACATTGGTCCCCAGCCAAGACCAATAATGTGCTTAACAATGAACTGTACAAAATTCAACAGCATTTGTTGCCATAGCAGTAATGATTAAAGTTTTTTTTAGCATTAACACCTTCATCCTCACTCATCAAAAAATAAATTTCTCTAACATAACCCAGAACAAATTTTAAAGAATATATAATATTAATATATCTTCTCATGATGGTATTAGTTCTTTCCTATAATAATTATACTGTAGATATAGTGTTTTATCAAAACTATATACATTTTCTTAATATTTTCTAAATGTATAGTCCTGAAATAGTTTAACTGAATTGAGGTTTGCAGGAAAGTATAAATGAGCAAAACCACATTTCATGTTTAAATTTTTGGGGCAGCAAAACTGTTGCTTGAATGTTTCTGAAAATCCGCCATAAACAAGTAAGTTATAGAGGTAAAGTTACTATTACCTGTAAACATCATCAAATGATGTAATAGATGACAACCAATGTGTAAGCCATATACCATCCGTCACCATTCCTTTTCGCACAACAGGTGGAATTGGTCCACTGGAATCTTCCATATCCCACACTTTGATTGTTGTATCTTTGGAGCCTGTCATTAGATATCGTCCCTCATCCTGGGAAGATAGACTCAAGGCTTAAAAAATAAAAAGAAATTTTAGCAAACTAAATTTTAAAAGAATCAGCAAATACAGAGAAACCTGTTTCCAATGGTTCCAGAAAATGGCTTTTATTAGAGGTGACCACTTAATCAAGGTTACGAGGTTACTTGAAGTCTAAATTAAATCTAATAGTGTTAATACCAACAAAATTAAATATATACTCCTCAAAATTTGTAACCAACATCAATGACAAAAAACAATTTAAATAAGGCATCAAAATAAATCTTTGACTTGTCACTCATTCTTTTAGTAAATAACTGACTTTCCATCCTTAGAGTCAAACAAACAAACAAGACTTCAAAATGCAATTCATAATCTGTAGAAACTTTACAGTAGGACCGGCAAGAAGAAGTAAGCAAATGACCTTTAGATTAAATCCACGAACGTGGAGTCCTCTGCAAATCTTAACAAATTCCCACAGAAAGAAGGTATGAGTTAGCAAACCATAGGAATGCAACGGAAGAAAAAACATGTTTCACTTAAAGATATTTATTAAAATCATCTGTTATTACCTGAAAAAGAAAGTAATCCCCAGTGAGACAAGAGACTCTGTATGTCTTTATTTGAAGTAATCTGACAATGCAACCAGTTATAGGAAGATATTAAATGAACAGTAATCTCCACTTTTCTGCTTCTTGCTGTAAGACAGTTTACAATCCCTTCATAGAGGCCAATTGAAATGAGCTTGGCTGCATAGTTAGGGGGCCATTGCAACTAGTGGTGCAGTCAAAGCACATACTTTCTCACTTTCCTGCTAAAAACTCCGCAACATTACATTACTCCATAACCAGCAAAAGTGTTTTCAAGCAGCTAATTATTTTTCCGCCCTGAGACTGGAACTCAGGTCCTCAGAGTTCCCACGCCCGTAATCATACCACTATGCCATAGAAGCGCCGCAAGGATCAAACTCGGACAAAAGTAATGCCGGATAAATGCCCGATTCATTTAAAAAAAAAATTAAACAATCAAAATATCCATTAGAAACTCTCAAAGCCTCCAGTCCGTTAATATCAATCAGAGAATATCAATTTTCAAGATAATCAGCTGAAGGGGTTAGGTGCTAGCATTAACCACAGACGGACAGACTGATGTTTTGGCAACTGACATTAATCGATTTTTCGAGACAAAAAAACAAGGATTCTGGCTACATCTCAAGTTAGAAGTTTTTTCCCCTACATTTAGCACAAGGTTTTACCCACTTTTTCATCACCAGAACTCGACAATAAGGTTTATTCTGGCAAAATTTTGGCATTTTCCAGCGCACTGTGAAGAATTCTAAAGCGAGAAAGTAATAATAATTTCAGAACCATTAGGGATATCTAAGTTGGTCATTTGGCTAGTATTCATAATGTATTTAAATTGTTTATGTCGATAGTTGATAGATTAACTTAAATCGGTTCATACAGATGCACAGAAACTCAACAATTGATTTGACACGACATATGTTTTACAAATTGCAAAAGAAAGTTGAAAAAAGTGTTTAAAAATTACTAATTTCAAAAGCACTTAAGAGACACATCCAGTTTATTTGTAAATGTAATGATTGCATTTGTGAGTAGAAATGAGTCAAATGATTTGTAATCAAGTTTCTCAAATCCCTAATAGTTTTCTACAACAACACTTCGATCAAATTAAAATCGCAGTGTTGGACTCGAACTGGTGGCCTCTTGGATTCAATTCATGAACTCAAACATGCCACTTCACAACCTAGACCATCCAGGAGGACAAGACCTGCACTTCCTCTACACTTCCATATTACTCAAGAGACAATAGTTTCAGTTCTAGCGTTACAAACTTGAGAAAATGTGAAAAAAAGATGGGGTTTTAAGTTGCAAATTCGAAAACCACATACACACTTCAGATTCAGTTATCGTAATTGATTGTATTTGTTAGTAGAAGTGCTTCAATTTCAATAAAGTGTCTGCAATTCTTAATAGTTTTGTTCGGCAATACAGAATTGTAACAAACAATTATCTCTGAACGGGGCTCAAACAAGCCGACCTTGCCTCCGAAGCACTGTGACAATACACATCATTTAACCAACCTCAGCCACCGGGGTCGTACTGGATATAGGCACTCCTACAATAGTCATAAGAGCTACATGTTTCAGTTCTAGTATTAGGCAGTGGAAAAATTACCAAAATGTAAAATAAATGTCCTTTGGACAGAAAAAGTTTGCAGCTCGGAAGGCGTAATTTGATGCGGAAAATACTTTTTCTCGTTTAAAAGCAAAAGAGAATTATTCCTGTGCCAACTTTGAAACAGCAGCTTTTCTTCATGAAACGCTGAGACCAAATTCGACATTTAACAAGTTCAGCACCTGGGTTATACAGAGAATTGGCAGTTCTATAAAAGTTATAAGACAACAAGTGCCAAACAACAAAACAACAATTGACTTGATGGCTTGCATTGATGAAGCATAGATGAAACATTGATTTGATGGTTTACAAATCCAATAAGAGATGTGAAAAATTGTTTAGAAGTTAAAAATTCGAAAATCACATACAGACCCTTCCAGTTTATTTCTCTTGACTAATAGTATTTGCGATTAGAATTGCTTCCAATAGTTTTCAATAGTGTGTGGAATCCTCAATTATTTCCAGCAAGAACACAGAATTGTCATAAATAATCATTCCCGGCCAAGACTCGGACCAGCAAACCTTCTCTCTAAAGAGCTGAGTCCATACCCACCAATATAGATAACTTGGACCATTAGGACAGGAGATAAATACTTCTGTAATAGTAAAGTGTATGGAAGATTCTTTTCTAGCATTACAGAGCCGCGTAACTGAGAAAATATGAAAAAATTGTTTTTTTGGGCAACAAAACGAAAGCAGTCGTGAAGAGAATGAGGCTTGTTGCAGAAGCTAGTCAAGAATATAGAGAGATTAGAAAACTAACTAGGGCAAGAAAGTCTGTCCCATGCTATAACACCACTAGTTTATTTATTATTTATTTATTTAAATAGCTAATTTTCTACAACAAACTTTTTCTGAGGCAAAAATATCTTCAATTTTGTAGTTTTCAAATGTTTTTGCAATTTCGAAAAAAACGAGCAATACTCGAAAATGGGACTAGCACCATATTTCTAACCGTCCTTTACTACATAAGTGGAGAAAATTTAAAGAAAAAGTTTGGACCGGTTTTCGATAATTTTTTTGTTGTAAATTTCAAGTGCAAATTACGCAAAAACTACTCACTGTTATAAAAAATTTACATAACTTTTTTCAAAGAGGTAATTTTGTACAACAGACTGAACCAAAAACAAAGATCATCAATTTTGTAATTTCAAAAACAATTTTTTTTCTTCTATTTTTGAAAAATTGGGGATATCTCCGAAAATGAGACCTGGTCCATTCTCTTAAACATCTTTTGCACTATTGTATAACAAAATTTAATTAAAAAAATTATAGCTTCTTTTTTTATTTTGAAAACGTTCAAGGGGCTTCTTGTAAAGTACTCCCCGAAATTAAAAAAATCTGTTTCAAATTCCAGTGACAGCGACATACACCAGATCGATTGGGAAATATCAATTTTGGAGAAAAATGGCTGAACAATTTAGCTGGTAGTGTTGACCCCAGACGGACAGACCGCTGGTTGTTTGACGGTTTTGCCATCAATCGATTTTTCGGTATCAAGAGCCAACAAAAATTGGATTCTGGCTACACTACGTGCTCAAGGATTTTTTTCCAAATATTGCAACAGGATTTATCCACTTTTTCGTTACCAGAGCCCGGTCATAAGACTTTTTCTGGCGCAAATTCATCGTTTTCCAGAGCACGATTTTGTAACTTTCTCTTCTTATGAAGAATTTGTAAAGTGAGAAAGTAAAAAAGGAATATTTATGCCTATTGTATGAGGTCCTTTAGATAACACTGACTGTCTTGTAATAGTTAGTTTTCTAATTAAAAATTTTAGACTAGGCTAGTTTTTCAATATTGCCTCATCCTCTTCTTAACTGTTACCTGTCAGCCACTAAGACAATCTTTGACATTTGTAAAAGCTGCATTTAGTAGAAGACGTATTTTAAAAGTTTTCACACCTCTAATAGAGAATTGAAATACGACTTAAGGAATAATACAGAAGAGTAAAACATGGATCTAGATGCAAATTTGGAGTCATTCTGGAGAAAATGTCCTTTGAGTATTTCTGAAAATGCAAAATTTTTAACTAATTTTCACACAAAATTTTTGAACTTTTGTGAAACTTTGTAACAAATCATTTGCATAACTTATAATCACAAAAGAAAAAGAAGAAAAAGAAGAAAAAAAAAAGAAAGAAAAAAGAACAGAAAAAGTAGAAAACAAGTGTTTTTTCTTTTTTTAAGAAAAAGAAGTAATTTCTGAAAAATCAAAACAAGACATCAAAATAATGTTTATGTATGTAATTCGGTGTGTTTAACACAATCACAAAAAAGTTTCACAAACAAATTGAGCCATTTGAGTGTTTCTGAAAATGCGCAACTTTGAGCTGATGTTTACAAAAAATTAAGTTGTAATTTAAGCACTTGTACTCACGAATGCAGTAACGATAAAATCCCCTTAATGTAAATATAAAAGACATTAGAGACACATAAAAAAATTACATTTGTGTAATTGTCAAAAAAAAATGTCAGAAAACTTCAAAAGGCTGATGATGTAGTGATATTCAGTGCATTTAGTACATTTAGCCATTTTTGAGAAAACCTTTTTTTTTATTACCTTTATTTCACATCAAAACATCTCTTATTTGGAGGGGAAAAAAAAAGAAGAAAAAAAACATAATTTCATTTAAAAATTAATTTTGAGGCGTAAATTTTATTATGACGAAAAATCTCTACCTTCGATATTGTGATTGTAAGAACACACTGAAAAAATGTTAACTTCTGTAATATTTGAAAATTCATAGAAGTCAATGAAAATGGGTCTCTAACTTTTCACAGGCGTACTTCACTTATACCTGTACGGAAATTTCAAGCCATTTTTGAAAAAAAATTGAAAATGTCCTTGAATCTTCATGTAAAGTACCTTGAAAAATGAAAATATCCATTGGAAATTCGAGGGGCCACAACCTCACCCAGATCGAAAAAAAAATATCAATTTTAGTGAAAATCCTGAAAGGCTGATAGAGATTTTACCATGAAAGAATTTTTCAGTATCGAAGACCCACAAAATAGGGATTCTTTCTCCACAATGTGTTAGAGGAAGTAATTTACTACAAGTAAGAACAAGAATTATACACCTTTTTGATTTTGGAGACCAACAACACATTTTTCTGCTGAAAAATCTCTGTTTATCTCTGCAGCATTACATAACTTTCTGTACACTGTGTATGTGGTATGAGAAAATGTAAAATCAATCGTTTGCACTAAAAAATGTCTGTTAATGCAGGAAACCGCTTAATCAAGGTGGCCATTTGAGCAGGCTCCACTGAACATCACAATATATGAAAAATCAATTAGTTTCAGATTCAAGCATGTATCTGGTTACAGAAGATTCATTAAGATCTGAAGGATGACACCTCAGCTGGACCAGATTATTAACTTGCAATTGATCAAACAATGCACTACAACACTAGCCCAAACACAACTTTCCCAATGCTGCCTCAATGAAAGCAAATTTAAAAGCAAAATGGCATCAAGCAATTGTACCTATCTACAAGAACAAAAAATCTCACCTTAGTGACTACATGAATTCTGGGTTTGAAAGGAACAGGTCCTGCTGATTTAACCCTAACTAGTTGATGACAATCATAATGATTTTCAATGCAAAGAAAACGGAGGATTCCAGCACTACTGTACATATCAAATTTGGAGGAATCATCAAAAAAATTCTAACACCAATATTACTATCAAATCAAAAAGTAAGCAATAGTATCTTACCAGTAACACATGATAAATGGGCCTGAAATGATTTATACGGCAACAATATATTTGTACCATCTTCTTGTTTTCTTAACAATAATGATTCAGTTCTTATATTCCACAGTGAAACCATTCCATTATTGAAGCCACCAGCCACAACACTAGGAGAAATAGAAAGTACATAATCAATTCAAACCAATTAAACACTACATATATTATCAACAATTTGTTGAATTAATGAATAAGTGTGTATCTCAGATACTTAATATGCCCTACCTATGATCTTTCCCTTTGTACCAAGACAATCTCAAACAACTCCAAGGCAGACCACCAAGCTCACAAGTCAAGTTTTCACTGGCTGTCAGTGTCATAACAGGCTTACATCTGAAGATAGGATACCTACAAATATTCAAAGTAAAACATGTGTTGATTAATGTCTCAATAATTTAATTCAGTTTGTAATTTGATAACACAAATAAACAATGAAACTAATTAATAATTAACAAATAAACCATTGAGTGGCCCAGTCAAAAACAGGCACAGGCCACACATCTGTTACTTTTGAGCTCTTGCCATCTTGGATTGACTCCAGTAACAATTTGCATATTAGTTTGAGCCTACTCTTTATCAAGGAGCATTCACAAAATCTCGAGATTCTGAACGTTACAAATAACTTGTGGAAAAAGAGCACATGCCAATCGGATTGTCTTGCATCCCTAGTGATTAGCGACTTTTTTAACAAGTCAGCTGAAACCAATAAGAATCCAGTTCTGAATTTGCCTACATAATTTCCAAAATTGCTAGCACAGTTTGAGGTTAATGATCTTATGAAGGAAACCTACACGTGGTAGTAAATGTCGAACACTGTCTACACAAAATATTCCCTAATATGGTCTAAACGAAAAACCTTTCAAACTAAGTTTGTAGAGGTGTGACCATTCCCAAGCTCTTAATGAATGTGTTTTGCGAGTTAAATATCCCAATGGACAAGAAATAAAAGCAGCATAATTCCATCATTTGCGGTATTTCTTGTGGGATGTTTTCTCCACATTTCCTTGAGCCTTCTTTTCACTATAAGCGAGAAGGGTTGGTGTTGGTTATTTTGATGACAGGACTGTTATATCAAATCTGTAACTCAATTGTTGATGAAAAATGGTTTCTATTATAAGTGAGTGATAAATTTGGTAATTACTTTTTGTCAACAGCGCTCGTCACCAACATTTATTCTTAATTCAACTAACGTTAGTAAAGGAATGGCAGAAGGTATTTCGGGGTTCATGAAAAAATGTGCGTATAATACTATCAATTTATGCTTCTTTGTACAATAATCTAAGAAGTAATGGCACTGTGTATAAGATTGAAGTAGAAGACCAAGGTACCTTGAATAGTAGACCTAGGTACTTATGTAGGAGACATTACTGAAGACTTTATGAAGAAAATGTAACATAAGGGATTATTATTCCTATGGTGTAAAATATTAATGCATTTAATCATGCAAACTGTATTAGAACCTTCATTTTAACAGTTGCTGTTAATGTAAATTACATATTATTTTATTTAGTGTGTTTCATTATTTGGGGCCCATGCCACAGTTTTGTTTGCATATATTTCCTTTTATTCAAGTTTTCTTAATATTTCTTCTCATTATTTTATTGAAAGTCATCCCAATTTGGGTTAGTTGATCACAACAAAGAGGAAGTGGCTGCGTGCATTGTCTTAGTGAAGCTTTCAGGACCCTTCATCTTTCTCCAGATGTAACTGACATGCTACTTCAGTCTTTTGAGAACTTCCATATAGAATTTGGCAAAGACAATCTCCCCATGTGAATCCATACTGTTCAGCAGTACACTCTGAGGGATAAGTTAACGAAACCTCAGCCATTTCAGCTTTGCGTAATGTTCACATGTAGTTTGGTTCGGCTTTGTATAATATTTGTTTATAATATGGTATACCTGTACAAATACATGGGAACAAGTAACAGGGAGGATTATGGAGCAGTTTTTACATTTTGTGGGGAAATTTATACTTAAAGTGCAGAGAAAGGCAAACAGTCTAAGATCACACTCTTTTCAAAAGTGAGAATGTTCTTTCTTGAAAATGTTATTTATTCTTTCGGTCATTGATTCTTCTCAGAGTGCCTTAGGCATCCCATCTTGGACTCATTGTTTTTACTGTTTATTAATGATATTAAAGTCTACCTACACTTGAGTTTATTAAGCTTTAATTTGTAGACAATTTGAAATTGTATGGTGAAATTACTAAATTTCAGGATTCTATTTGTCTTCAGGATGCCGTTCAAGGGCTTCTCATTGGTGTAATTAGAATTTTTTCTATTTAAACATTGAAAAGTGTTAAGTGATGCGATACTCAAACAAGAGATCCTTTTTCAAAGAGTTTGTTTGTCCATTTGTTTTTCCCACTTAAATATTTTTTCCTTTCAGACCTCTGAAAAACCAATAAATGAAGTTTTACTTTACAAGTAGCATAGAAGAATTCACATTTTGTGTGAACTCCTCCCTGGAAGTTGGAAAAAGGAGGGCTCAGTAGCTGACACAGACTCAACCAATGGCAAAAACCCATGTGGAAGAAATATTATTATTAATTTTTTTTGTATCATGTATACTACATTTTATTATATTTTGCACAAACCTTAATGCAGCCCTTAATATTTGGATGTTATTATTGATACTATTGCCTGCATATAAAATAAGTAAATAAATATTTTTAAAAAATGACCCCACATAAACCCAAAGTTTATTCCAAAGTTCCATTTCCAAAGTTCCGAAAAATTAATACCATATCCAAACAAAACAAAGAAGAATCAAGCAGAAACAGATGATGTACAGTGGTGACAAAATTGTATATCAATATAATGAACTAGCCAAAACATTCTTGAGAAATATTTGTGTCATAAAATGTTTAACACTTATCATAAAAATATTAACACAGCAACCAAAGACTTAAAAAATTACCTAGCATCATTGGCCAAAGAATTTGGAAAGCAAACTGAAAAAATATGCACACAGCCATCAGAACACGCTGCTGCAAGGAGACCCAGTCGCTGAAGATGTTCATTAGTTGAAGTGGTCTCGTAACATCCTGATGGGCACCATTCAAGGTCCCACACTGAGCCATATTCATGGGCAATACCCAAAGCAAACTTTGGATTGCTAGTTGACCTGTAATTATCACATAAAATATATCCATATTAAAATATTACATCAAGTTTCCAAAAATTTTCGAATTGCTTTATTTAAGGGTGCCACTAATCAAAAGGCATCAATAGGTCCAAGGTAGTGTTACAAGCTAGTAAGGAACTGAGTTTAAAAAACACTTTAACACTACATTAAACAAAAGTGATCAGTTTTTAACATGAGTGAATAAAGTAAGACAAACTGTAATACACTATTTAAAAAAGTAACTAGCCAGGTACCACAGAATGGCACAAACTTTCCCATATTAGATTTCTATTTCTATTGATCTCGGGCAACTATTCGGACTTGCCACATACTCTTCCAAACTGCAATCTATTGCCGCCCAAAATCCATATTTTGAAATTTTCTTATTTATTCGACTTCCTAATAGTAGAAATGAAATATTATTTTAAGAATATTAAAGAACAGCAAAACCTTGACCTAATGGCAATGATGAGTGAGAGACGAGTCAAGAAAACTACATTTTTGTAATTTTTGAAAAAACAAAATAGAACGTATGGGTTTTATGTCATCTTACAGAGTACATTTAGCACTATTCTCACCAATATTTTAAAGAACAAATTTGTAGCCGTTTGTGAGAAAATCTTAAAATTTCTGAGTTAAAACTGAAAATTGGGCCTATGTCACCTTTATAAGAGTATCTCTATTCTCACAAGAAATTTAAAGAAAAAATTTGGAACAGTTTTTGAGAAAATTTTGTAAATGTCCAGAGGGCTTCATGTAAAGTATCCACAAATTTTAAAGAATTTTTTTCAAAATCTCAAAACGTTCACTTGAGCCAGATGGATAGGAGTTTCTTCAATTTGGAAAAAACCCTACATATGTTTTAGACACGGATATTTTATGAGGAGTGGATGTTTCGCACCTGTCTGTGGGAGTCATAATCTTGCATATATTTTATGATTTCAGCTTTTAAAATTTCTTTATGACATTCGTTCATAATATTTCTCCCCTTATGAGGAGAAGCGAATGAAGCAAATCGAAATGGTATTTCAATGGAGTTTTGACAATGAACATGGAAGATTCAGTTGAATAAAGAAACCAATCACCTTTGCAAATTGTCTAATGGGCCAAAATTCCATAATTGTATAAGACCCTTGCCCACATAACGTTCATTTGATTTATACGTATCACCCATTTGCTGATGACAAGAGATAGCCAGGAATTGGTCCCTTGTTTCATTCTCTACTGCAGTGACAGGATTTGTAGCCCAAGCAAGGGCCCAAATAGGTCCTCCAGTAAAAAGAGTGGGAACACCTGTGCAAAAGAGTTAGAATTTTAATATTCATAATTAATTTTCTCAACTAATTAAATAGTCAGGAAACATCTTACCATCAATAATATCTGATTCAAATATTTTCATCCTTCTCCAATTAAAGGTAACTGAATCTGTGCTGACAACTTCTTCACGCATAGCTAAAGTTGAAAATGATATGGATTCTGTTGTTTGAGGTAAATATTGGCTGTACTCAGACTCTGGCACTGGAATCCAATCTTTAGTAGTAGTATGATAATCAGGAAAAATATCTTCTTTGGCATAGTTTTCTTGCATACTGAAATACAATGACAATATTAATATGATAGCAGAATGGTTACTTTATTGTTTCAGTCAGAATTAAAACACTATTTGAACTATTTATTATAGGTCCATTCTCATCAGAATGTTATACAGGAATAAATAAAACACAGTAAAACTTGTTCAATGCAGAATCTCAAGGAATTAGTATTTTTCATATTATACAAGAAAATTTCACATTATTAAAAGTAATACTATAGAATTTAAATTTGCCACTACCACGGTTTATGTTCCTATTGGGCTGATTTTTGCACTGACTGTCATGTTTGCACTTTTAATGTAAATGTAATAAAATTAATTTTATTTTAATTCAAGGTTGTAAATGGACATTGTGAAGAAAAAATTAGCTTTTACATATAATTAACGGTATTTTTTTCACTATTTTATAAAATCTTTATAATTTATAAACTTTACTTTCAAGTTACAAACTTTTTACAAAATCTAATTTAATAATATCAATCTTCTTCTTCTTCTTTGATGTCTAATTCTTCAGTCCAGAATTAATATGATGGCCATAATAACAAGCATAGCTACTTTTAAAACAATTATCTAAATACTTTTTATAAAAAGGGCAATCAGGTGAATTTAGAGATTAACACTGACAAAACCATGTAGTAATTAGAGTAACCTCTCAAAAATGATTGGACAAAATCTAACACCCATATTAATAATTCATTACAACTGGAAACAGTACACAATTGAATTTCTTTAATACTAAAACTGAAGGTTTTTTCCATTGCAAACTTCTTATATAATTGGAAATAGGTTCTAACCAAGGATCACTAGAAGTCTTCAGAGATCAATCCAAAGCGATATTAGGGAGAACCTGAAGGAGCCACCAGGTGAAATTTAAGGTTGTTTGAGATTGTTGCCACATCCCATGAATGAATCAAATTCAGAATTTTGGTATCAGTTATAGATTTATTTTAATAATTATATAGTGGAATTCTATCTCCAGAGGAAATGTGTTGCTTTAAATATTTACTAGCAAACCCGTGCAAGAACTCTCGCAAGTTAATCCCCAGCATTTCCCTATTCTTTCAATTAAAAAGGAAAATTGTTGATAAAACTTGTTTATTTGTTAAAAAAATGTATAAATGTAACTTCAAACTTACAGAATATCAAACAAAAATAAAAACAATGCAATTGATGTTCGAAACATATTTTCAATAAAGGTTTATTCAGAATTATATCGATATGTTTTTCTAACAATTCACACTTCCTTAGAAACATTTGAAGTAATTATTCAATCTTCCTAGACAGTTATCTTTTCGCTTTCCTTGATAGTCACAAAAATACTAAAAAAGGATATTACTATTGAGAGAGCCAAGTAAACTTTTCAATGCGAAAATACAGAATTGGGCAAGTACAACCCTAATCTTTGCAATATAATTTAACTTTACTAGATTTGTTATGACGAACAAAGGGGGCTTTGGATGGGCAGGGTGACAGCTTACTAGGGTGAGAAAATTGAAAAAGTATTTGTATACTAAAAAGTAATGGATTATTTTCTGCGTTCTCTTGTGCATCAAGATAAGCAATTCCAAGCCCAAAATATTTTCACCTTTGAGTAATAAATACTACTTGTTACCATTAGAAACAATTTAGTAGGCTTAAGACTTCATTTCGGTACATGGGAATGTTGCTCAAACAAAGTTTACATATAGAATATCTTAGCAAATTGACACCTAAAGTTTAATATCAAACTGTGCATTATTTTACAATATGAGTTTACAGCTGGACATTGATGTACAGACTTCCAAATACTGCCAACATAAAAATCGTGCATCTGGATTGTGATCATTGGCAGTTGAGTGACGTGCAATTCTTCCTATAATTATAAATTTGGGTCCTTTTTTTAAATTGATTCACGTAGTATAGTAGGCTAGCGTGTTTTGATTTTTGTTGTTCATTTATTTCAAGCAATTTTACTTAAGTTGATTTTAAAAACTTGTTCTTTACGTAGTGCCATAGCACAAGTTTGACCATACTACCTCTGTATACAAATGCAAGAACTCTTGCATGTCAAACCCCACATTCTTCCCTATTCTATTTCCATTCTAAGAGGGAAAGTTGTTAACAAAATGTATTTATTTGTTTAAAAATGTATAAAGGTAAATTCCAACGCACTAACACAATATCAAAAATTAAAAACAATGCAAATGATGCTGAAAAGAAATTTTCAATAAAGATTTATTCAGTATAATCGAGAGATTTCTTTGAACAATTCACAACACTTCCTCGAAAATATTTGAAGTTTCACTTTTCGTGATAGTCACAAACATTAAACCAGCTTTTAACTCTTGAGAAAGCTACGTGACTGAACATGCTGACTTGAAAGCTTCACCAAATCACTTCCAATAACGAAAATACTGGGACAGCTAAAACACAAACCAAAACTAACAAGACAGTTCACTCTTCACTGAACACCCACATCCCTCCACAATTAAGTACACAGCACTTGAAGACCTCAGCAAAACGTTAAATGAATGCTTTCATTACACGCTGTAAAACCAATCTTCACTGGAATTAAGCAACTATTGATAGTTCTTCCAGTTGTTGTTGTTGCAAGAGTGAATTTGGAATTAATAATTATGCAAATAAACCTTGTCAGTCTCTGCAAATCACAGTTTACACAGAAAACGTAAATAGTATAAGATAAAGGAATCTAAGCCTTCTAAGCATGACATCATGAAGATTGCCACTATCACCAAGGGTTGTAATTTAGATAGCATTATTAGTATTCGATAAGAAATTGGTAGTATTCAGCAAAAATTCAACAGAATAGAAGAACATCTCATCCTGTAAATTACTATGTGATCAACGTTTCTTTGAGGCCTCAGACCTCAAAAGTTTCGTTTTAAGGCCCTACAATGCTTTGTTTAGGAGTTATTTAATGATTTAGCTGATTGAGTGCTGCAAGTTGCATTTGGCATGATAGCCAAAGTGCAATTCTTCATGTCTTTGTGAAATTCTCTTTCTTTAGAGACCTCATTGGTTGCATGTGTGCGCCGCAAAAGGTATCTATACCACTGAAATAATAAACGAGATGATGGATTTTTCTGATTGCTTACTAATAACCATTCCCTCTTCACATATTTGCAGGCATCAATACAGGTTTTATTGCCTTATTCCAATGTTTTTGTAGCTATAACATTCGTTTACATTCCAAGTTTTCAGTTTATCCATTAATACATATTTTTATAGCAAGAGTTATCCATGGTTTATCATTATTATGTTATTTAAGTTTGTAGAACATATCAGTTGGAAACAAAATTAATATTTCATTAGAGCTTCTAGCTCTTTCGTCCTGGCTGGCAAGGTTTATAATCAATCCCAAGATTGCTGTCGTACATGAGGTATGTAATTTGTTTACACCTGCGAACCTTGTTCTAAGCAGTGCACCAATAAGAGAGGGTGAACAACTTTTGTTTTTGTTGTTGCTGCTGCTATTGCTGTCATTGATGACCATTGATGTATCGATATTACACTATTCCTATACGCAAGGGTGAATGCAAGAGTGAATAAAAGATGATTAATTAAGAATAACTATCTGAATATCGAGCATGTGAATAATGCATTCACATGCTTCTATGTATAACTTATTATCCAATACCTACATACAACTCATACAACTCACAATACTTATTTACTTTGTTTCTGATATCCTTGATTTTAGGGGAACATTTTTTTTCTTCTCCGTTATTTTGGTCATGTTATAACTTTTGAGTTCTTTCATTAATACTAAAATTTCATACAAATTATAAAAATGAATGTAACTACTTTGTTTTCTTGCAAAGGTTAGGAATAGCTGGCTACAATCTGGGTGTTTTATAACTGGAACTACAGAATGCCTAATTAGAATTAATAAGAGTCCCTCTTGTTGGGACTCTTCATGAAGCTTAACTATTTTAAACAACAATATGTATAGAAAGATTTCTATGAGCAAATCGCCCAGCAATGAATAAGGAACTGAACTCACAATTTCAAAGTCCACTTAACAGCTGGGAGGAATGGTCTGTCTCCATTAGCAGTTCCACTCATTTCTCTTCCCAGGAACAACAATTTGTTACAGACTTCTGAAATGTAAAAATGACGATTAACACTAAAAATTAAGGAAGAAATATTTTCAGCTAATAGTGACATTAAGAACAATATATTCTATTTACCCAATAACTAAACAAGTTTTTATTTTTACATACTTTATTTGAACAGCATGGATTATCTTACTTTTGAAAATTAATTCGTGTGACGTTAGGAAGTTCATTGGAAAATTGAATAGTAAAACCTGTCTAAGATAGAATTTAATAGTTCCTTCAAAATATTTTTGCAGGTTTCCAAAACTAGGTCTAATAAAGGGTTGCCTTTACAAGAGAGCCTTTTTGGAATTCCAGGGTAAACTTAAGAGACTTTGGTGACACATTTGAGAATGGGGTTTGGACAAACAACATTAAGGGTTCGGTGCAACAACAACAAAGTTACACTTGCTGCTACCTTGAAAATCAAACCAAAACTTGTGAAAGTCGCAGAGAAACAGTTGCAGAGTTCACCAAAGATTCCCTGATATATGGTATTTGAGGAAAAACTGATTATTCACTCAAACAGCCTGAGGACGTGAACTTTTATACTACGCCATTCCTCAGATAGAGCTGGAAATTTAAAAATAAATTTCCTTCTTAGGTAATAATCACTTTACGTTCTCTAAAAACCACTTCCATGATGGATAGGATTCTGCCTTATGCAAGTCATTTTCATGTACAAAATCGTTCCAGTCTGATATTTTTTGGCTGGGATGGCAGGTTTCCATCTTAGAGAGGTTTTACTGTATCATTTTGACAATTACAATGCCTTGTACTTTGAAAAATAAGATCAGCAAAAACTGTTTTCATTAACTGTTCATTCTTAAGGTTCCACCCTTGTGCCAACTGCTACAAATCAATATTTTTGGATATGGTGTTTAAAAAAAATTACAACAAATGCCATTCTAGTAAGAAACAGTGAAAACAGAAGAAAATAGTGGCTGAGATTTTGCCAGGCAGGGGATCCATGAGTTCACAGATCATAATCAAACACTTCAAACATTAAAAGTTGAAAATTTTAAGTTAAGTTATAAAAGATAAAATTTGAACACCTATTTGGCACAAAGAAATTTAGAGTAACAGAAGGAAAGTTATTGGGTGGTGTCAAGTGAAAGATAAAAAACACAAATCCAACAAACCTTTCTGGGTACCAAAAAATCAGAAGATAACTTAGTTTGGAAAAAAGAAGGAAGGAAAGACAGAAAGGAAGAAAAGGGAAGGGAAGGAAAGAAGGAAGGAAAGAAAATAGGAAAGGAAAGAAAGAAAGAAGAAAAGAATAATTATGTAAATGTGGTCCTATATATTTATAGACAGTCAAATATTTGTTGGTAAGAAATTGGGAAAATTACGTACAAATTTTCTTTTTACAGAAATGCTGTCTTGTCACCCTAGCGTCACATTGTTGACAAGGTGTAGACACAATTTAATGAATGATCACTGTATAGTGTAGGAATGCTGTGTGGAACTGTGTGAAAATGTAAGATTGTATGTGCAACACCCTTCCGCTACAGAAGAAAACACGGAATAAATGCTTGTCCTATATTTTCCTTTTATTTTGCTATTAATTTTTATTTCCTGCAATATTTTCATTGATAAATTGCTACATTTTGTTTATTTTGTTTTATAAAAAAATCATTTATTACCCAATTTCTTACCAACAAAAATTTGACTGTCAATATATAGGATATGACTGTCAGGACTAGGATATGACTGGATATGACTGCCAATATATAGGACCACATCTACTTAATTATATTTAATAAAAAGGCAGTCATAAGATAAAAAATTTAAAAAGAAGAAGAAAAGAAAGAGAAAAATAGAAAGAGAGAAGGAAAGAAAGAAAGAAAGATCAAAAGAAAGGAAGAAAGAAAGAGAGAAGGGAAGGAAGTCAATCAAAAACGTAAACAGTTATGAATAAGAAAATACAGGTAACACAGACAGTTTTTTTAGTCAATAAGACAATTTGTGATGTGATTTTATTGCAACTGCGAGTGGTGGCATTTGCTAAAAATGAAATAAATCTTCATGTTCCCTTTCCCTTTTCTTGTTATGGAATGAACCAGCAATGAGGAGAGGCAGGAAGACAGGCAACGAGGTAATGTCAAAATTTTGAATTTAGATGTTATGTTTTTCAAATGTTTTGATAAAATATTAACTTAATGAATGCTTAACAATGTGTTCAATGGCTAACATATATACGATCATAGTAAAAATTTCATTAGAAGAGTGTTTTTGGAGTAAACACAATAAGGGAAAACTACCAGCCTAATAATTGAGTAGTTAGTTAAAGAAATGTGCCTCGCTAAAATTCCTCCTACTTACTCCAGTTAGATAATTTAGATTGCATCTTCTTCAAAGATTTAGGGTCATCTGGGTCTGACTCTTCAAGATTTCCAAAGTGCTCTTTTGTCAAATGAAGTTGCATTTCTTTTTCATTTTTACACTGAAAGTCGCACAGATCACAAGAATATACCTGCAAAAACATTATAACAGAATAATTTCTAAAATACAACACAGTGTCATGTTAAGTAAAATATTTCTAATTTTGACATACTCTTCTAGGGCATTTTTCACATTTTCCAAAATGCTGAATCATAACTTCCAAATCAGCACTCTTAAAAGTGCAACCCGGAAAGTGACATTCAAGTTGCTGTTCGGCAGCCACTAAACGTTTCCATTTGGCTAACGTTGAATTACTAGGTTTCACTGGACCAAGTCGTTGATACAAATCCTGTGCAAAATATATTTCAATAAATATGGGTCAGAAATAATTAACATTATATGAATGTTTTCTTTAAATAGCTTTACATCACTGTTCAAGACTCAAGATATAATATCATACCACCATTTCTTCAGATCCTCTTACGACTTTCTTATCTTCTCCTTGAGTTTCTTCTTTCATAACTTCTTGCAACAAGGATGTAGCCCTATGACAAAAAACGATGACAAAATGAATAAATAAAATTATAATTCAAGATATATTACTGTGACTATTAAAAATGTTTTGTGTTCAGTTACAAAGACAATTTTTCCAATTCTAATTCAGTTATTAAGTATTATTAAGTATTCATAAGACATTTTTAATAATTAGCAATAAAATTTGGTGTTATTAGCATTTATTCCTTTCCTGCCTCTTTCCTCTCACAAATTTAACAAAATAACAGTTAAAATATTTAATACAAGTTGCCTTTTTTTTTCTTATTTCATTTATCATCATTACTGAAAAGTTCACTGACTCATTCGTTCCTCAAAAACCAATTGTAAATTGATGTTTTAGACTGACACTAGTAAAAGCGGTTCTTTCATGGCACGCATAACATGCTAAAAGTTCAATTTTTAGCACTAGTGTAAAAAGTGAGACTAGGTTGAAGTTCAGATAAATCTGCGGATGCAACAAAGAATACAAAAATATTTTTGTCTGACTGTATCAGCTACTACTGGGTTTTAGCTGTATCATTGATTTATGAATTAAAATAAAAAGAGTGTCACTAAGACTACCTAAAAAATAGTGCATGACTCACGTGGTAAAAGTGGTTTACTTTGCTCGTAAGATTGCGCCATACAGCATACCAGCCTCAAGGCAAAATACAAGGTCACTTTTACCATCATAAATAACTACACAGAATGACCTCTTAACTAATTTTATTTTGACATTCTCGCATACTACATATGTAGGGCAGAGAAAGCTATGTAATGCTTTAGCAAAAACCTGATTTTTACCAGAAAAATTTGTATTGTACAACTCTGATACCAAAAATTTGGATAATCCTTGTTTCAAAATGTAGTAAATTACTTTCTATAACATATTCAGTAGCTCAGAATCAAAATAGGGTCCTGATATACCCAAAAAATTGGTTTACAAGATAACATCTTTTCATGTATCTGTCTGTTAACAGAGCTATGACTAAATGGTAAACAAAATTACTACCAAAAACAGGTATAGCCCAAGGATCTGGCTTGATGTCAATGCCCTTGAATTTTAAATGATTTTTTTTTGGGGGGGTTATTTACATGAAGCCTCAAGGACATTGCAAGTTTCCTCAAAAAACGTCTCCTATTCTCCCTCTCTTTTCTTTCCTTCTTTTAACAGGAAATACTCATAAAAATGTACAGATACTATTGTTAAATTATCTGAACTTTCAAAACTTGCAAAAGTTAACAATTTTTCAGTTATTTCTATGACAATACTGAAGACAGTGATTTTTTTTAATGAAATCTGTACTTTAAAAATTATTTCTTTAAATGTGATCAAGAATACTTTTTTAAATTCGAGTTATTGTGTAATTTTGTGGAAAAGGGGAATTTTAAAAGTAAGATTTTCTCAAAAAGGCTCCAAAGTACACTTGTAAAAATGGTGCAAGCCCAATTTGCATTGAAGTTTTAAAAATTGCAAAAGATACCAACAAAGCATTAAACTCTCTTGTCGCACCACTAGCTTTCTCTAGTGTTTCTACAGAATATTTAAAGATAACTTTAATCAAAAAGAAAAAACAATCAAGTCTTATACATATCAAGTATATTGCCATTAAAATTTCAGCATTTTCAGAATATATTATACACTGATATGCTCTTTCTTGTAAATATATTACATCTTTGCATTCAACATTGAAATGAAAAGAAAGTATTGCATGCATACTTAGCTGCTGCAGCTCTTTGTGTTCGAGTAGTTTCAACTTTTATACATGGGTCAGGTTTTGGTTCAGCCCTATGCATTTGCAGATGAACTTTCAGACTGGCTGGTATCATATACCGACCACAGATATCACACATAACTTTCAGAGCTTCTCGTTCCTAAAAAAAAAAAAAAATTAACCCATCAAACTATAATTTTATAAACATTTCACAAATTTAATAAAATTCCAAAATATTTAAGAAAATGTAATACGAAATAAACATACCGACAAGAACCAATCAACCTGTACCACACAACCTAATTAAAAAACGGTACCTCTTTTTTTGATACAAATTACACCTTCATGGTCGAGCAAGACAAGTTTAACATAAAAATAATAAACAAATAAAAACAAAATAAAATCAATCAACCTACTTCTGCAGTTCTCTGGCAAAAAGCAATGTGACTCCAAAATCCCACAGCACTCTTTTTTGACTCTCCACAATTTTCACATGTCAAAAATCTTCGAGTCTTCACAACTTTCCATAAAGTACTCAGAACAAGTTTTTCATTACTTATATCCTGGAAGAATATACATATTTTTTTTTGTATTTCACAATAAAGAACACACAAAATAATTCATAACATTATGTTATATTTACTTACAAATGGCGGTTCACCTTCTAACCAACTTAGACCATTATGTATACTAGCATTATGCCGATCATAAGATTTCCTTTTCATTTTCTCTTTGCATTTGCCACACTGAATCTAAAACACAAATATAGGATGCCAAAGTGGAACACTCATACATTCACCAACAATAATAACACATTAAAATATGTAAAATTATAAAATCACTCTCTGACAAAAGAATTAGCTGTTTTTGTTTGTTTATTTTTCAATTGGATTCCAGACTCAAAAATTTTAATGGCTATAAGTTAACCCTGTGTATATATTTTCATGATGTAGCAATCACTGCACCTGACATGCAACTTCATGTAAAATTGGTATATTAGCTGATAATGAGAATGAGAAGATGGAAAAGGAGTATGAAAAGACAAAAGAAGAGTTCAAAAAAACAAAGGAAGAGAAGAAGTTTGAGAAGACAAAGGAAGAAGACTATAAGAAGATGACAAGAGGAGGAGAAGGAAGAAGAGTTTGAAAAGTGCAGGAAAAGAAGAACAAGAAGACAATGGGAGGTGAGGGATAAAAGTTGAGCTGGGGGGGGGGGGGAGGTGGAAAGAAAAAAAACGACAGAAGAAGGAAGAGATGGAGTAGGAGGAAAATGAAAGAGGAGGAGGAGAGGGAAGAAGCATGATGAGAAGACAAGCAAGAAAAGGAAGATAATGGAGTGAAGAAAATGTCCAAGAGAAGAAGAAAGGACATGAGAAAGAGCTGACAAAAGAGAATGAACAGGAAGAAGAGAAGAGATGATAAAAGAGGAGAAGGAAGAGATAAAAGGAAAAGAAAATAAGAGGAAAAGATGAAGGAAAATGTTCAGAAAAAAGAGAAGATGAGATTAAAGAAAAGGTGGAGAAGAAGAGTCAGTTATGAGGATGAGGCAATGAGAAGAAAAAGAGGAGAGAAAGAAAAAAAAAAAGAAAAAGGGAAGGAAAAGGGAAAGAAGCTTCTGATATGGACCAATATTTCTGAATCATGTACTAAACACATTCTCATTTTTCACTCAAGAAGCGATGGTACAGTGGGAGGCAGTCTGCTAATCAAAATAAACAAGTTTTTCTGATCATGACATTTTTTCTTTGTCGCATAGTACTATTAATCTGAAATATTTATAATTAGTAACCAGAGGAATTTTCTTACCCTAGACTATTTATTGTCTAATTATTCTGCTCCACATGAAACTGGAAGTCATCAAAACCATTTTTTAAACTGATGTTATACATTTTAAATCTTGGATAATTAATTTTCATTTTTTATTCTTTCATACTTTTATATGTAGATTAAAAAAATTCCTACAATTCTGAGTAAATAGCAAACTCAAATTTCTTACTCAATACAATTGTTCGAATAACACCAACAGCTTAAAATCCATTAAGTGAAACATAATAAATAACTGGCACTTAAAAATTAAGAGAAAAAATACTAACCTCTTCATTTGGATCTTCCCTACGCTGCTCAATTTCATTTGATTCCATCAGTTCTTCCTGTGCACAAGAATTGCCAGAATCAACTGGTAATGAACTGCCTTGGCTTTCTTCTTCCTCTTCTCTTCCTCCAACCTTCTGGACACCTCTTCTACGCCAATGAACTCGTCTTTTGCTACCGCGTCTGTAATTTCGTCGACGACTTTGTCCTCTTCCTCCACCTTTTCCTTGTCCTTGGCAATTCGTTCCAATTTCTGACATATCAGATTCTTGATCAATCCCTATTTGAGAATCTTCTGCCCAATCTTTTGAGTCATCACTTATTATGCTTCCAACAGTGCTACTAGCTGAATCATCTACCTCCAAACTGCTATCAAACTCATTCTGTGAATCTGTTTTGGAGAACACAGAATCTTCAGACATTATACTTTGTTCAGAGTCATACGGTAAAATTTGTTGTGTTTCACTTTCACCTAGATTTCCAGTTTTAGTTTGCTTTAAGGTTGTGACTTCAGAATTTTCTTTTTGAGGTGTATTGGACACACTATTTACATTTGTGTTTACACTATCATCTACCTTCCTACTTTTTCTACCTCTTCTGGTTTTTCTGCCACCTACAATGTCACTAGCACTATTAACACTGGAATTACTACTATTACTATCCTCACTTACGATTGTTTTATTCCTAAGGCTTTGTCGACGACTTTTCCTTTTTACTTCAGCTTCTTCTTCTCTTGTTTCAATTGACCTCTTTCTCCTTAATCGAGGTGGCTCTGTACACACTAGATCTGTTTTGTTCTCAGGAGTACACCTGTTTTTTTCTTCCAAACATGTAACTGTTACTGCATCTACTTGAACATTGTTAGTCTCCAGGGGCAAATGAATTGCCTCATTAATTTTTCTATTCTGCTCATAAATATTTGTATTACTCACTGAATCTTCAGACGCATGAAACATACATTTGCTCTCAGGATCTTTGTGCAAGTTAGAATTAGTTACAGATGTTCCTTTAGTATGGACAATGCCTTCCTCATTACTCAGTTTATTTTGATTTGTAACTTCACCAAAATCTTGTGTGTCTGTGGGCCCACAACTTTCTGTAATATCAGAATAACTTGTAGATAAATTTGCATTAGACTCTAACTTTTCTAATTGTTCATTTGATTTTATGGTTTCTTTAATAAGAGTACTTTTGAGAAGGTGGAGTTTTCCGTTTTTCTCATAATTTGTGGTAAGATCACAACAGAAACTGGAACTCCTCTTTCTCTTGACAGGAGAGCAGTAATTTGCACATTCTCCGTCAATTTCCATTTTAATAGAAAAATCTGTAGAATGTCTTCGCTTCCTCCACGATGAATCTTTATCACGAGATAAATTTATTTCCGTCAATTCAGTTTCAAAAGTCTTCTCTATCACTTTCACACTATCAGAGCTTGAAACAATTTCATTCATATTATGTAAAGGTGAAGGATCATTTTCTTCCCTTTTAAGCATATCTTTACTTTCATTACTACACAACACATTCTCACTAGGCACCGTAGAACTAAATGTTTCTTCATCTTCCAGTTTATGTTTGGAATCATCACTTCCTTCCAGAATTTGCTGTAAATCTTGAGTACTGTAAATCTTCTCATCACTTTCAGATACAGCTTTTGGAGAATCTAGAGCATAGTTTTCAAAGGTTTTTGAAAAAGCATCCCGTGGAATCAGCAGTTTTTTACTATCACTACGTGCTTTATTACTGTAAGAATCAACACCAAGCATCTCATGAGATGATACATGCTCTGGGCTATCTTCCATTTCACCAGCAAGAGCAATACTCAAATTTTCCAATGACAATGGTTTTACATTTTCAGACAATGTAATTGTAGTTTCAGAAAATAGAGAAGCTTCATTACTTGTAGGAGAATTAATGAATTGTTCACTCATACCACCTAACACATTCGGTTCTCTGCCTAACAAGGTTCTGGTCTCCAAAAGGGAAGTTCCTGAAAATTCAGTACCCGACGTAGTTTCTTTTGTTTGTTCACTTTTTTCAGTTAAAGGCACCAAAGAATCAGATAGTTTGTTTTCATTCTTTGTTTCTATAATTTCTTGGATTTCTTTGTCACGTCCAGCTTTTGCATTGAGAACTTCTTCCTGATCTTTTATGTATTCTAAAACATTTGATTTTGCATTGAAATCAAATCCAGTTATATTTTTTGTGTCAGCAACAATACTAACATTACAAGACAATACAGAAGGTTCCTTAGCTTCTTCTTGTATGTCCTCAGAAATAGAACTTTTATTCTCCTCTGTGATTGACTGTAATGCTTCAGATGTTGGTTTCAAATGTTTTTCATAACCACAAGATTCACCTAATTCTTGAAAGATTTTTGGAGACCCGGTTAAAGAACACTCAGAAGCAATTGAAGGTTCCTCTGAAATGGAAGATTCTGTAAGTGAAAGCATTGTATCATTGGTTTTTTTCAAAGGCAATAATGAAGGAACTACAATATTAACATTATCTTGCTTTTGGCATGACATAAGAATGCACTCTTCATCAGGAGCAGAAAGGAAATTGTCTTTCATACTTGAAACAGTCCTTTCTGCATCTGTAATTCCCTTGACAACACAAACCTCTTTTTCCATATTTTTTGTTTCTTGTATTAACTTTGCTTCTGAAGACTCTCTGTCAACTGTTAAATCTTGGAAACCTGCATCATTTTCAATGATTTTCACCTCACTGCAAATGTCTGTTGAAGTGGATGCTTTTCCTTCTTCCTGTGTTTTCTCACTAACACAAGACAAGAGAGTTTCAGATTTCACTTTTCCAATATTAGTCATAAGTGATACCTCATCATCAGAAATTAAAATTTTCTCATCCACCAATTTTTCTGTCCCAAATTTGACTTCCATTTGCTCTTCAGTAATATCTGTACTAGTTGTTACTACTTTGGTATTTTCAAACTCTTGTATTTTTTTATTTGATACAGATACTATGTCTTCTACACAAGGTGTAACACATTCAGATACCTGCAATGCAGTTTGGGTCTCAGAGGATTCTTCACACAACTGTGTTTCATTTTCTTTGATATCTTTCTTAGAATCAGACATCTGTTTTAAAATTAATCCACTCTCAGGAATGTTCTCAATTGAAGAATAAAATTCTTCTGTGGTTTTGGTTTCATTACTTAAAGAAGTACATTCAACTGCATCAACTTGTGCATTAGAATGACTGTCCAATTCTAGACTTCCAGAAACCAAAGGAACTGTAGTAGGAAGAACATCCACCTTGTTAATTGAATCGGTAAACTCAGAGGAGGAATAATACAATTCATTAATTTTCTGGACATCATCTGCAACAGTAGTTGTTAAATCACCATCTAATGTTTTCAGATTAGAATCCGCTTCCTGATTGTCTTCTTGTGGAGTACCATAATCCATTATGACTTGACTTACAGAAACACTTTTTTCAACATTCTTAATATTTGCCATTCTGTCAATATTTATTTCTTTTATAGATGAGGAAACAATTCTAGATGGATCTTCTGTGATAGCAGTTTGAGAATCTGATAACACACCACTAATCTTTGATGAGTTGGTGCTCATGTCCTTGATTTCTAGAAGTGATTCTTTGGCAATGTCGTACTTCTGCTCAGAGCATGGAGATAAATCATTCACTGCCATTCTAGATAATTCTAAATGATTGTTTTCATCAGATGACATAACATTTAAGGTGTTGTTGACTTCTTTAGGCAAATCACTTTCTTTATCATCACACAAAGGTTTTAAAGTCTTAACAATATTATTCTTTTCAGTAACCAATTCATTAGACTCAGATGTGATATTCATATTCAAACATGATGCACCATCAACAATAACTGAAATTTTCTCATCCTTTGATTCTTCTGTAACAATTTTGACATCCATTTGCTCTTCAGGAAAAAATTCATGTATTTCTCTACTTGTTTCTGGTTTTGTGTCTTCCACAAAAGGAGTAACAGATTCAGATGCCTCCAAAGCATTCTGGGTTTTAGAAGATTCTTCATGCACCAATGATGTTACATTTTCTCCGATATCTTTACTATCAGGTATCACTTTTGGGAATAGTCCTCTCTCAGAAACATTCTCAATCTGACAATTCTTTTCTTCCGTGGCTTGTGATATATCACTCAATGATAGAGATTCAACTAGACCAACATCTTCATTAGACTGATTGTCAGATTCAAAGCTGCCAGAAATCAATGGAATTTTAGGTGGAAGAACATCCATCTTGTTAACTGAATCAGGTAACTCAGTGGGGGAATACAATTTATTAACTTCCTGGACATCATCTGCAACAGTAGTAATTAAATCACCATCTAATATTTTCATATTATTGGAATCAGCTTCCTGATTGTTGCCATGTGGAGTAACAGAATCCACTTCTGCATGACTAACCACAAAACTTCTTTCCACATTCTCAATTTTGGTCGTTTTGTCAATATTTACTTCTTTTAGAGATGCAGAAACAATCTTAGAAGGATCTTCTGAGATGGAAGTATGTGAATCTAATAACACACCACTAATTTTTGACGAGTTGGTGCTCACGTCCTTGTTTACCATCTTGAAAGTCGTGTCCTTTTCTAGAGATGATTCTTTGTCATACTTCTGTTCAGAGCATCGAGATAAATTGCTTATTGCCATTCTAGATGTTTCTAACTGATTGTCTTCATTAGATGGCATAACATTGAAGGTATTGTTGATTTCTTTAGACAAACTACCAAGTGAATCACTTTTTTTATCATCACACAAGGGTTTTACAGATATTGCAACATTACTCTTTTCAGCAATCAATTTATTTGACTCTGAGTCTGTATTCAAATGTGAACATGATGCATCATCAACACTAATTGAAATTTTCTCATCCTCTGTTTCTTCTCTCACAATTTTGACATCCATTTGCTCTTCAGAAGAACACTCATGAATTTCTCTATTAGATACAGGTAAGTCTTCCATTAAACGAGTAACATATTCAGATATCTGCAATGTGTTTTGGGTTTCAGGAGATATTTTGTACATCAATTGTGATTCGTTTTCTCTGGTATCTTTCTTACTATCAGTTATCCCTTGTATGAGTGGTCCTCCCTCAGAAACAATCTCAATTTGAGAATTCTTTTCTTCTGTGGCTTTTGATACATCACTCAATGACGTACATTCATTTGATTCAATTTCTGCAATAGATTGTCTGCCATATTCCAGGCTTCCAGAAATCAATTTAGAGGTATTTGGTTTCATCTTGTCAATTGAATCAGTTACCTCACATGGAGGGTACAATCGATTAATATCTTGGGCATTGTCTAATACAATTAAATCATCATCTAACATTTTCAGATTACTGGTAGCAGCTTCCTGACTTTTGTTTTTCAGTATATCAGAATGCTCAAGAACTTGACTTCTCCCAACACTTCTTTCATCATTCTTGATGTTTGCTTTTTCATCAACATTTATTTCTTTTATAGAAGAAACAATCTGCGAGGGATCTTTTAATAGGGGAGATTGAGAATCCGGTAATAGTTTTATGACCTCAGTGTTGCTAGTGCTCATGACATCATTTTTAACTTTGAATGTATCACTCTTGTGTTCCAGAAATGATTCTTCAACACCGTCACTCTTCTGTTCAAGACATGCAATCCAATCATTTGCTGCAGATGATTCCAATGTATTATCATTAATTTCTGCTGAATCCAATTGGTTGTCTTCATGAGAGGGCTTAACATTATAAGTATTACCAATTTTTCTAGGCAAACTTCTAAGGAGATCACACTCTTTACCCTCTGGCAAGGGTTCGACCATAATTTCAACATTACTCTCATCAACATTTGTCTCTGACACAGTACTTAAATGTACATGCAATGCATTATAATCATTTATTGAATTGTTTTCATTTTCTGACTCTTTCTTCACCCTTTTTTCATTCATTTCCTCTGTAGAAGGAAAGTCAGTGTTTGTTTTATTTGATATGGGCCCAAGCTCTTCAACAAAAGGAGTCACACAGTCAGATATCTGCAGAACATTTTGGGTCTGAGGTATTACTTCACTCACCAGCTGTGTTTCATTTTCTCTGATGTCCTCCTTAGAAGCAAGCATTCCTTTTGATGGTAATTCATTCTGAGGAAATTTTTCATTACAGGAAGTTCCTTCAGTGGTTTTTGATACATACTCCATTGAAGAAGAACATTCAACCACATTAACTTTTTCATCCAATTGATTGTCAGCTTCTAGAGTTACAGAAATCAATGGAACTGTAATTGGAAAAACATTCACCTTGTTATATGAATCTGATGCCTCCGAAGGTGGACACAATTGATTAACTTCCTGAACATTTTCTGCAACAGTAGTAATTAATTCACCGTCTAACATTTTCAAATTATTGGAATCTATTTCCTGATTTTCGTCTACCAATGTATCAGATTGTTCTAAGATCTGACTTATCACATCACTTCTTTCATCATTCTCGATGTTTGTCAATTTTTCAACATTTACTTCTTTTATAGATGCAGAAACAATATTGGAGGAATCTTCTGACTTTAGACATTGAGAACTTGGAAACACACCACTGATCTTAGAGTTGTTGATGTTCATGTCCTCTTTCTCAATCTCTAAAGTTACGTCCTTGCCTTGAGAAATTGATTCTTTGACATTATCGTATTTCTGTTCAGTGCACACAATCAAATCATTCACTGCCATGCTTGATGATTCTAACATATTGTCTTCAGCAGAGGCACCCTCAATTTCTTTTGGCAAATTACCAAGTGAGTGACATATTTTATTATCTGGCAAGGTTTTAATTGCTGTTTCAACATCACTGTTTGCAGAGACCACTGCATTTGTCTCTGAGATTGTACTCATTAGCCCTCCTTGAGAACTAACAGGAATGTCTTTGGAAACACAAGTTTCTGAGAATATATTGTCTAAATGTAAATGATCATCTTTTCTTTCAACCTCAATGTCAGTAAATGATACTGAAGATAACTTGGCTTCATTTGCTTTCATGTTAGATTCAAATTCTTCAACACTTACCACTACTGGCACAGAATGTTTCGCATCTGATAATTCAACATTGGAGGATTTATTTTCTTCTATTTTTAATTCAATTTCTTCTTTTAAAACAGAAATAGAACTTACATCTGAATCTAAATCAGTTAGTTTTGTAGACTTGGATTCATTTTCGTACGACAATCCTTCACAGTGAGAAGTATTTATCCTGACTATTTCTTTTTCATTAGTGTCCAAATGAAGCTGAATATCTCCAAGAACACTTACCCCCAACGATACACTGTTACAATCTGTATTTTTCATTTCACAAAAATGTGAAAATTCACCAGCTGCTTCAGAACTCACTGATTTCAATGACTGTTCATTTATCTGAGAAGCGTTTTCTTTTAAGTTGGCATTAGCAACAACGCAAATCCCTTCCTTCGTAGAATGACTAATCTTAGGCACTTTAGTTGCTGGTCGTAATGTCTTATCCAAAACATTATCTACACTAATATTTTCTGAAGATGTTTGAGTATCTTGGTTCAAATTATGACTTGGAAGAATGGAATCGTACGACCTTAAGGTCTGTTTTGATTCGTTTTGAAATTCATCAATTCTACATTCCACATCTGTATAAATTGACTCATCTTGCTCATCTTTGAGCACTGAATTATTCAGAGGCAATTGTAAAATGTTACTGGCATTAGTATGTGAGGCAGTCTGGATGGTCGTTTCTTGTACAGGTTCCTGTAGTTCATGAACAAGTACTTCTGATATTTTGGTTTCACCTTGCACACCACTACTGCAAACCACCTGAACAATTGAATGAACTTGGGGCAAAGTTTTGAGTGAACTGTGTTCCACTTTCAAAGCATTTTCTTTTTCTTTAACATCTCTCGAATCCGGGTCACTCATTGCTGATTCTGGCAAATTGATAGCAATTTCCGGTAAGTTTTTCTTGTGTTTTAAACTGAGTTGTTCTAAAGAATTATTAATTCCTTCCTCAGAAATGTCTATTGAAGAAATCTCACTCAATGGATTCCTAGCACTAGAATCTTCTGTAACATTCTCCAACACATTGTCATTTAAAGCAACATCCAAATTAACATTGTTTTCACTTTTAATGTTTACTTCACAAATCAGTCTTGCATTACACAAATCATCAGGTACAAATTGTCCGTTTGCTGTGTCTGCTGATTCTGCCTCTGTTAGATTTTTCTTTTCCAGTACTTCAATATTCTCACTTTTAACAGAATTTGTTAACTTGTCAGTATCAGATATGATCAAACTTCCACTCACACTTTTCTTTAGATACAATTCTTGACTCACTTCACTTAAATCTGATTCAGTATGATGTACATCAATAAACTGACTGTTAGGGACTGAATTATCCTTTGAAACACTAACTGATGCAAGTATTGGAACATCTAAATTTTGCAAATCATCAGGGTCAGCATATAAAGGATGTGATGGTTGAATATTGGTAAAAGAAGTTTCCACAGCACTTGAATTATCCTGAGAAATCACCTGAATATCACTATGTACTTTCTTTTGTAATGTATTATATGCTTGAGGTTCAGTACATTTTACACTATCAACAGGATGAATACTTCTTGGTCTGTCAATATTTGCTTTAGCAGTATTGTTATTAGTGTTTTCTATATTCTTACAGACATTAGAAACATTTGATTTTGCAGGTACAAGATTTTCTATTTTGTTTGTAGGCACTTGGGAAGAAGCAATTTTTTGTTTTTCATTAGGCGCCTGATTGCGCTTATTTACTGCTTTACTGCACACTTCTACAGGGGACTCAACTAAATACTGAGTCATTTCTACTATTTCAGGAATAATATATTCTTCAACATCCTCAGTATATGATACTAATGAATTACTAGCATAGGATTCTGCAAACAAACACTCTTCAACTGTAACCTGTTTATCCTCTTCTAGATCATTCTGACTCAAATTGATATCATTACTTTTCACGGTTTTATTTATTGATGAATTAAGGGAATATTCTTGAGGATATTCTGGTTCATCGTCTTTGAATAGTTCATAGTGAGGAGCATTACTTTCTTGACTAACAGGATTACTAATCTGAGAAGCAGATGATTTGGGAGATACTTCTTTCTGCTCTTTAGAATTCAGGGACGTTCCACAATATGAAACATTTTCCTGAAATAAAAAGAATACATTATCAGTTAATGTATTTCACTAAAAATATTATGACACGTTCAGAATATGTAAGATACCAGCTATTTGGCACCAATGTAAAAAAAAAAAAAGTGTTTCAATTTGTCTTTTGTTTAAGTAGGATAGTTAACAAAACATTCAAAACAAATGATTGAAAATTTCTGATAACTATTAAAAGTGTATATCAATATACACAAAAACGTTCACCATCTTTCCTCAATAAAATCATAATGAAATTCCTTTTGACAACGAAAGGAACGATACATACAAATTATTCAAATAGCTCCCACTTCTGTGTGTATACATGTTGGTTTCTCAGGAAATTCACAGCTAGCAATTCTCTATATATACTGTACATACATATTATTACTATTTTATACCACAACACAAACTTGAAAATGCAATGCATTTATTGATTTGACACTAGAGACAAAATAGTGCAATTCTTTCCTTACTCCTTGTTCAAACATTGCTAAAAAATTGTAACCTTTACACTTACACAGAGGAGTATATAGCAGGAAAGTATAAATGGTGAGAAATTACTTTTGCATTTAGAATAGTATAAAGAACATTGAACTTCTCTTAATAATATTAAGCTCTAATGAGAAATTGTTGGACTTTTTAGACCTTACAAAGCAAAACACACTAACTCTATCATTCTCTAATTTTTTACTGGAATGCAGAGACCCTCTCTTTTTGAAACTATTTTATGAACCAAAGAACACAAACTTTATAAAACCATTTCTAAAAAAACTAACTTGTTACTGTATCAAGTAACAAAGTAAAAAGTAGTAATGATCAGGAGTAACAAAAAAATATACAAGTAAATTGATGCTTTGAGATACATACTTGCATGTTAATATACAATATAACAAGGTATAATAGCAAAATCGGAGGTGAAGTGCATATTTATATACACCTTTATTGACAGCCAGAACAAAGGTACATGAAACATTTTGAAAAAATCTGGTTTGCTTGTGGCTCAAAGCGAAGTCGCTTGCCTTTCACCAAGAAGTTCTGGTGTCGACTTTTGTCAATTCCTGGACAATCTCATGAAATTTGTTCTGACAAAACTAGTTTGACTGCTTCTCAAGGTCTAGTGCAACCCTTGTGAAGTGTCCTAAATCCTACCCCTTTCCTAATTCCTTGCCCATTTCTAGCTGCTGGGTAGTGGCAGGACCATTTAAGAGAAGGAGAGAGAGAATGCTACCTGGCGGCCATCGTGACAACTGACCGCGACAAAACTAGACAAAATATTAATAATAATAATAATAATAATAATAATAATAATAATAATAATAATAATAAAAATAAAATGTTAATAGAGGATTATTTCTTAAGTAAAAAGAAAGCATTCAATGCCCTCCTACAGGTTTAGAGACCTGTTATGTCAACAAATTATAAAAAACAGATGCAACAAATTTAAAACAATGTATATAGACAACACACAATAATTTTCTCTAATTTCTAATTTTTCATATTAAAAGTAATAACACCTAACAAAGGATCCTTCTGGAGCAATTTGGAGGCATTCTGACTTCCTCAATCACAAATGGACATGTTTTTGTAGGGGATGCAAGGAACAAACATACACACTGTACATACATTATCATTAACCAAACATAATTCTTTTTTGTATTTGCTCAGTCAGAGGAAAAAAGTGCAAAAGATAGGAAATTTTAATTCAGAATGTGTAAAAGCAAGAACAATTTGATGTTGTGAGCATAGGGAAATTGAAGACGCAGAGGAAACAAAGTGTAAACACATTCCTAAACTTCTCCCATTGAGCCCTCTTAAAAGAAAGATTTAATTCAATCTCCTAAACATTTTTCTGAAATATACAGCATACACAATTATTATTAAACAAATACAAAAGTCTTGATAACAATTATAGAATATGAACAAAAGATTTTTAAAAAATGTTTTTTAGGTTTATATTTTATTATTTTTTGCTAATAATTTTCAATTTTTAGAAACATTAACCGGTATTATTAGATGTTATGAACCTTTATAACAGAAAACAATTAACAACTTCATTTGTACTTTTTGTAATCAATAGGATCTTGATTACACTGGTCAGTTGCCACAGCATATTAGGCTATTAACCCACAATTGACCTCTGATCATTGACCCCCTTTCAAATTTTGTCGACCCCCAAGGGGACAATACCAACGCTATTGTGAAACACTGGTGTCAACAATGGGTTAATGTAAATTCCAGAAATGTAAAAGCAATGTTTTACTGTAATTACATATGGCCAAAAGCACTTATGATACTTAACATATTTTCAAAAAATCCTGAAAATACGTAACTTACTTCATTCAAAATATTACTATCACAATGACTCATATATTCATGTAATTTTTCAACAGCACACGCCTCTGGTTTGGTTTCAACCAGCATTACATTGTTTGCTCCTGAAATAAAACAAAAAAATTCAGCAAACCTTTTATATTATTTACTATGAACAATAACAATAAATTAATTATATATATTATCAATACTAAAACTTGTTGTAATCAATATAAAGCAAGTAAATGACAACTTTGTCTGAACAGAAAAGCATGAAGAACAAACTCACATGAACCTTTCTATCTTAGATGAAGGATAAAAAAGGGTATACTCCATTAGCTCTGATTATTAAAATTGTTATCTAGTATTTCTTCTTTACAAAAAAAGCTTTATCTTTTAGTAAATAACATTATTGCACTTAGAACCAGAAACACAAGATGCTTATCAGTTTCTTGGATGCAATGATATAAAAAGTTAAACAAAAGTGAAGGGACTCGACAATTATCCAGATGTGGAGACAGACTCAGTAATACATCATTGAAATTATTGAAGTACAAAATAAAATCAGTACTCTGCCTGTTCATATACAATTAATTATTTTTAGAGATAATATTTTTAACATATTTTTGGGGTTCTAGTTTATTACCTCCCTGCATTAAAAAGCAAATAAATTAAAAAAGGAACTACATATACCTTCAGACATGGATGATCGCATAATCTGAATGTCGCTAAGGCTGCAAAGAAAAATAAAATTGAACATGAGATTTATTTCCACACAACCACACACAGTGTACAAAAGCAGTTTAATGGTAATAGTAGTGGTAATAATAGTAAACAAATAATAAAAATGTAAAATTGAGCAATTAGGCTGAATTTCAATAAACAATAAAATCCTGATTTCTTAATATTTTGCTTTATTTTCTAATGATGTTAAAGTATATCAAGTATTATTTTTTTTTTAATAAAAGTCAATGAGAGTATAAATAGATATATTTAAGTGACAAATTGCAACAGAAAGAAGAAGTCATGACCCAATGTTAGAATGCAGCTATTTACTACTTTTTTTTCACACATAACACATTTACTACTTAGTTTTTCTAATTCTAAATCAATTAAGTAACAGTATTTATTTAATGAGGTACAATTTAATGTTTAAATAAATGATTTCAAACAAAAAATATACTGAAACACAAATTTGTAGGGTCCAAAAGAGATTATGATTTATATATTAAATTCTTGTACAAAACCATAAAAGATTATAGGCATTAGGTATGGAAGGAATTGATGCCATTTATTATATTTTATAGAAAGTATTCACAACATGCAGTTCTCACAAGACCATCATTATGAATAATAATAATGTAAAAAGGAATGTTATTTTATGGAATCACTCTTTGATCTGGACTGGAATAGTGACATAAAAAGGATTATTGACTTATTCTCATACGATTTCAAGTGCAACAGCAACATGAAAACAACAAAAACATGCACCAGCTATGTCTATGAAAATGTAAAATTTGTAAATACTGTTCCACTTCATACTTACTCAGTACAAAGAGAAATGTTGTCTGAAAATGAACACGGCAAAGCACTAAGAGGACTGGATATTCTTTCATTGTACGTCTCATCTCTAACAAGTCTCTGATTATCTTTACTGTACGTTTTACACAAAACTGTACTTGTATTTTCACATTCTTTTTTAATACTCAAACCTACACTACCTAAATGAGAGTCCAATATCTCTCTTTCCACACTTCTCTGTTCATCAAAATCTTCATACATACTAAACAAACAATGAACTTCAGTATCTGCTGATGAAGATAAACTACCTGATGTTTTACTAATTGTATCACTCGATAACCTTGAATGTGACTGATCTAAACTTTTAGGTAATTTCTCTGTCATGGAGACAACTGAATGCACCGTTTTATCTGTTGGTGCAGAGATTTTAATTGAAGTAAGTCTTGACTGTTTCTTTGATAGGATCACAGTCTCCTCCTCTTGATGAACAAAAGAACTTCCAATATTAATACCACTAGAAACTGCACTAGCAATATTGGTTTGTGGCACAGGTACAGGCAATGAGTCAGAAACAGAAACAGCAATATTAACTTCAGGATTCACAACTTGAGAAATATTTGGATTTGCTGAATGAGCCTTTTTAACATGAGCTTCAAGTTTTTCCATGCACTCGGCACATGCTTCACAATATGGGCATTCCACAGATGTTGCAGCAGTGGTCTGAAATTCGTTGACAAAATTAGACCTAGAATCAATGTTCGGTATATAATTCAGAATGGTTGCAATTAAATTTTCTTACCCCATTACAAATGCCATAATGTTTTATCATCTGATTCAAATCTAAAGCCATAAAACAGCAATTCTTAAAAAAACAATTAACATAACCTTTTTCTTCTAGAGCAATATTCCACGAAATTTTATGCACTTTGGAATAAGCTCGTTTTCTTATCCACACTTGAGCCTTTTCCTCTGGTTTTGGTCTGAAACACAAGACGAACTATTAGTTTCAGATACTGAAGGTTCTAAAACGTTCATTTGGAAATATACAAACAACTGTTTATTCATTCAAGAATACTTTAAATAAATTAAGTAATTAATTAATAAACATAAATGACCAATGACCAACAAATTCACATACCAAAATTCATCGATGTTTCCTTCACACTGCCACAACATTGACTGGTGAAATTTACTAGTTGGTTTACTAATTAATTATCCCACCCCCCAACACTTCTCCCAATATTCATTTCTATATTTACAGTCCCTATTTCAAAGAAATTACTTCGGAACTAAGAAGAAATACATAAAGAGATCTTGTTTAAATTGTCTCTTTAAATACACGTAAATGTAAAAATGTTCCAACAATATTCCCTGATAACTGCAAACGTATTAAAAAACAAATCATTTCCAAACCCATGGTTTCCAATAATAAAAATCTAAAGGCAGATACGTTTTAATCAAGATTGACATTAACTCCACTTAATTCAGCAATGTTTGGTCTTCAAAATCCTACATTTTATTCTTCAGACTTAATGGAGACACAGTGAAATAAAATTCATTGCAAAATTACTTGGCTCTACCATTCCTCTAATCCAAGATATCAGAGTAAACAGTAGAGTCTCAATTATCCCAAACTCCTCTTTGGCAAAGGGCAATAAGATTAAATTTTGAAAATTTCCTCCTCGGCACCTAAGGAGCCTTCCAAAGCCTAATTATACAACAAAATACATTATCACAAATTTCATACAATTTTTTAAATAAATGTAATCAAATAATTACAGACTAGTCCATTTCATAGTCCTTATATTATTAAAACAAATAATAACTTTACTCATTTTTGCCTTATTTCATATTCTTGATATTTCATAATTAAGTCAATACCATGTACAGTCCCTAGCTATATTATGAGACGCACTCCAAATTTTTAACAAAATGTTAAGTTTTGAAGTCTTTCACTGCAGTACATTACATCTGGCATTGTTGCGAATCAATCAATAAAAACAAAGCTTCTTTTTCTAATAATTAACACATTATTTGTCATTATGTACCATTGTTGTGACACCTCATTGTTGCTTAGACACAAATTACAAGAGTTGAGTACAGCAAAAGGTGACATGAATAGTTGTTGTTGCATGAAGATAGTTTACTTTCCATTTATTAGTTTGTGAAATAGTTAAAGCCGTGTTTATTTAAAAATTGTGAATTGATAGTTTTGAATAAAAATAATGGGAAAGGCAAGTGATTTGTATCCGTGGAAGATCGCCGCAGTGAAAGCTCTTCTCAAAACAGAAAATTATTCAAATCTTGAGATATCTCGACGAGAGAAGGTTGAACATATCTGAGACATCTATTCGACCAACTAAGCTAATTGTCCTTTGTGACGAATTATCCCCACAAAGGAAGAACACATGTGGACAGAAGAGAATACTTTCACCAAGATCTGAGAGATGTTTGAGGATAATTTGCCATGAAAACCGGTTTGCTACTATTAAACAAATTAAATTTAAATTGGAAAGTAGTGGAATCTGTGTATCTGAAAGTACAGTAAGGCTTACACTACTACAAATGAATTTTTAAGCTTGTAGACCAGCCCACAAACCCAGATTAACAGCTGCTATGAAAGAAAAAATCTTGCATGGGCCAAGAACCTTAAGAATAAAGATTTGGATTTCTGGAAATCGGTAAAAATTTAGTCTAGTGAATTTTTTATAATTATAAGTGGCTACCAAAATTAAATCTAATGTCTTTTACTTGTATTTCAGGTTTGTTTGAGCGACGAATGCACTTTCGAAATTCTAGCAAACAAACATCAATTTGTGAAAAGGCGCCCTGGCGAAAAGTATCATTCAGATTGTGTCATCCAGATTGTGAAACATCCAGTTAAGGCAATGATTTGATCAGTGATCAATGGCAAAGCCCCGGGTGTCTATACTTGGTTAAGGGCATCATGAAACAAGACCAGTACAAGCAAGTATTGGGGAAACGACTGCTGCCTCAACTATAGGAATGGTTAACAAATGAAGTATCAATTGTTTTTATGCAAGATGGGGCTTCATGTCACTGTCACACTGCTCAAACAGTTAGATCATTTTTGTTGGAGAAAAATGTTCCTGTGTTACTATGGTTAGAAAATTCACCAGATATGAACCCAATAGAAAATGTTTACGAGCTCATAAAGAGGGAAATTGCAAAGGAAGAAATAACAACAAAAATTCGCCTCCTTAATAATTCAAGTCTGGTACCATCATCCAAAGTTGCAAGAAACACTCCAGGCATGCATTAATAGCATGCCAAAAAGAATTAAAGCTCTAATAGCCGCCAAAGGTGGCCTAACAAAGTTTTAAAGATATACATTTGCATGGAAATTTTTTTATGTAATTTGGTTTAATTATTATACTCACAGTCATAATTTTGCTTATGATATCTTGTTTGTATTGTAATTATTCTAATATTACTTATGTAATTTGTAAGAAATTTAAAAAATACATTTTTCGTCACAAAAACACTATATTTATTGAAAATTTAGGGTGCGTCTAATAATATGGCCAGGGACAGTAGGCTCATACAATTCCATAATTTATCATACTAACCAAATTTTTCTTTACATAAGTTTCTCTTAGTTCACATTAACTCAGACCATAAATCCCAATCGAAATCCCAACAACAAATCAGTTAAAAAACATAAATGTATACTTGAAATACTTACAATTCAACAACCTTCTTGGGTGGTGGCTTTCTTGCAATTCTACCTTCTCTTGAATGTGTCTCAATATAATGTGATTTGAGGTCTTCTTCTGACTTCAACCGTCCATTACAAGGCGTACAAATATATTTGGAAGCAAAAGGTTCCTTAAAAAAAGTTTCATTCATGAATAAAAACACACTTTCTCATGTTTTATATAAATCAATATGATTTATACGCAGAAAACACATAGGTAGGAAAGGAAAGATAAAAGGAATAATATTATTTGGTAAAATAACTTTTATTAATCAAAAAGCAAAACTAAAAGTCTTGTACAGAGTAAATATTTTCCTATGTTAGCAAATAAATTGGGCTGAGGCGAAATGGAGCAAGTCATCTTTTGCAACCTTTCAGGAGGAAGTTAACATTAAATAATACTCACACATTTTATATTATCCAGTCCAATCCTTTAAGTGTATTCACTGTGATAAGACTAAATTGTTATTTTAATGTACTTTCAACTAAATAACATTTACGTGATCAAAATTTGGGTTTAATTGTTGTTAACATGTTTCCTTTCTGCTCAGTGTCGGAATAAAAGTCCAAAGAAAACTGGGTACCGAAATCATAAACGCAATAATTTTACATAATGATATAATTACACATTTAAAAATTGTATATTTGTGTCGAACAATCATATCCATCAAAATAAATATTTGCGAATCAACAATTGGCTTAATTTATTACAAATTACATATTGTAAAGAGTTTGGAAAAAGGACAATCACATGGTTCAATTCTCTTTAGCTTCGTGCACTGATTTATAAAATTTGTCAGCTCTTTTTTTGTGGATATGAAGTTCAGCCTCTGCTGCACATTTAGTGCTGTCACACAAAACTGTACTCTTGAATTTTTGCTTCAAGCTCTTCAGATTTTGAACAAACATACACTTGAGGTCTGCCAAATATATGTTGAAAATTTTCTTAAAAAATTAAAATTAAAAAAGTAGTATTGCATGCATGTATCCTATACCCTGCTTGTCGAAGCACATCTAGATACTCAGGTGTCCATGGCAAGTATAGAATTTGCGTCCCCATCAGGATACTTCAAATTAGGGTTGACAGTTTAGGAGGGTATACTCTAAATAGCGCCCCTGTAAGTGGTCTCATGGCTTGTGCTGTATCTGCCATATCTAAGATATGCCACTGCATGCATACATAATGCGATATGCATTGCAAACATTCAAAATCAAAATTATAGAGGAGAAACAGAACATGTCAGTGACTTGATTCCTTCCTCAGCAGTACAGCAACTTCAATCTTGCAATTTATCACCTAAACACTGTTATGGCATGATTCCTTTCTTCGTAGTACAATTTGCCTTACCTCGAAGAAAAACTTTCCAAAACAAAAATAAAAAATATTGCATTTCTGACTAGTTCCCTTTCTCCTTATGCACATTCAAATGTAAACTATCAAAACTAATAAAGCATTACAAGAGAACACAATTTTGAGATACTATTCGAATAAAAGTTGGCAGAAATTTATCACAAAAGCACATAAGAACACCACACACGAGATTAATTTCCTTCTCACTTGCATTCAACTTTGATCACAGAATGCACCTGACACGATTCAGCCATTCATATAGAAATACACTAGTAAATTGACAATCAATACAAAACCATTAAACTTCAGATTATCAATCTAATGTTTTTGAATGTATTAAAATGTATGAAAGCCTTTTATTTCATTTCCAGAACATCTCTCATTAATTCTCAAGCAGTATCCACTACATCAAATTATAGTAATATAACTAACAGTGCAGTGCAATGCAATGGTTTGCCACCAGTTTCTTAAAGGTTACTTAATTTCAATATTTTAATGGTAACAGCCTCTTGTTAATAATTTTGATTTAAGCAGTTTTAGATTGGCATAATATGCCTTCTGCCCTTTTCTTATCCTTTCATCTATTTCAGATTGGATTAAATTTTTTTCATTTAAGAGAGATCTTAAATAATTAAAGTTTTTGACCTTTTGGAATTGGTAGTTATTTATTTGCATTTCTTTTATAGAGGGTCGTGGGTTTCTGGTAAAGTACCTGTACTTTCTTTTCTGCTTGTTTACAAGTTCCACATTTTTGGCATCTTTTCCTAGTATGTTAAACAATTCAACAATAGCTTTCTTGATTCTTCCTACTATAACCAAATCATCTGCAAACTTATACGTCCTCTTATATCTAATTTTTTAGGATCGTGGATCACCTTGTCTAACTCTTGAATGGATTTCAAAGAAATCTGATAGTTTGTTTTCAATTTTAACTCTACCAATTGTGTACTGTTAAGTCGTTCCAATTAATCTAATTAGCTTGTTTGAGATGCCTACTTCCTCCAATCTTTCCATTAACCTAGCATGATCAATTCTATCAAAGGCTTGTTTAAAATCTACAAACAATATGTGCATTTCCATATTATGCTCATAGCACTTCTCTAATATTTGATTTATTACAAATATATCATCTCATGTAGATCTGATGGTTATAAACCCATTTTGATATTCTCCTATTAAACCTTCTACATATCTTGTCAATTTACTGTTCACAACCACTGCAAGAATTTTATTTGTAATATAAATAAATGAGATTCTTCTATAATTTTTACAATCTAACTTTTCTCCTTTCTTGTATATTGGGCACACAATTGCTCTTTTCCAGTCATTTGGAATCTGTTCTTTATTCCACATCATTTTCATTAATTCAACAATTATTTTATGTAATAGTTCTCCTTTTTGTACAAACTGCATTTATGTTGTCAAATCCAGGTGCTTTTATTTTCTTGAAGTTTCTTTTTATTGTCACTATCTCATCATATGTTGGTTCATCTAGTTCTGATTCCCAGAATCCATCTCCATAACAGCCACATTCGTATTCTTGTGCAAGTTCTCCCTAAAAAATTCCTTCCATCTATTTACTATTTTACTTTTTTCCAATAGAATTGTACCATCTCTAGAACTTGTAATACTAATTCTTGGCTTAAGCTCTTTTGTTAAATACTCTACCTTTTTATAGTATTTTATAGTCTTTCATGTAATTTTCTTTCAGATGGGATTCCATTTCATTTCTTAACATATCCTTCTTTTTCTTTTTGCACTTTTTTCTGATATTTTTTCTTTCTTGTTCATATCTTTTTGGAGGCAATTACATCTTGCTCCATTTTTCAATTTGATGGCATATCTACATTCATCATCACCAATTTGCATTTCTGACCAGATATTTGACTCCTGTCTTTTCACTGGCTTCTTTTAGTATCACGTTTTTAATATTATCCCATTCTAGTTCTATTTCTGCTCTGACTTCATTCTCTTTGAGGACATTCTTGATTGCATTTTCATATGGCAATCGTACTTCCCATTCATTTAGTTTTTCTACATTCCACTTCTTTGTTCTTTCAAATTTTCCTAACTCCTCAGAATTAATTCTTGGCCCAACTATGACTCCTATTAGGAAGGGATTGGCATCACAATTTGATTCTCTGTAGGTTTGACATCCAATAACACATCTACCTCTTCTTCTGTTAACTAATTCGTGATCTGTTTGGTTCACTAGCTGTTCATTCAGTGATATGATAACATTAAGTGAATAAATAAAGAAATAACAAAAACAAATAATTGTTTTTCAGCAACTTAAAAATGTATAATAATTTTCACTTTTTAAATGATCTGAATGAAGAATTGCCAGAACTTACATTTACAAAAGAAAACATTTCCTCAGGAATAGAAATTTCTTAGTAGTACTGACATTATCTACATAAGGGAACATGGAATGTACTCAAATACATATGAAAAACATCCAAATAAATTAACCTTATGATGATTTATAATAATTTCATTAAAATTAGGTTTGTCATGTAATGAGCGACAGGAATTCATTATGATACAGTTCTTCTGTTTGAGTAACTTTTGTACATAAAACATTGCTCAGTAGTGCAACATATTATTGGCAAAAATGGTTTTCTGAGATATTCCTCTTTTATGAATTATTAACTCCCTACTATTCCAACTTGATTTGAAGCAATCAAAAGTTGAAATTATTAGCCTAAGTAATTTCTTTACAATATTTGTAATTATTTCAGATATTTGAGAATTGAAAACAACTTGCTGATTTAATTTTAATATGATATTAACTTGCTGATTTAATTTTAATATCGTTTGTGAAACTGACAAATTAAAATTAATTATTGCATTAAATCATATGATAAAATTAATTTAATGATTGGTGGAGAAGTAAAATTGCACTAGTATACCTTTTACAAACAAAACCCAATGAATTACCAACAATATCAAATCAGAAATAGAACTAGTTGCAATATTGAAGACAGAAGAATAGCTAAAACAATTTGTTAGTGTTGCTAGCAGAGTTGCTCAAGGGTTGATGTTACTTGGTCAAAATTATTTCACAATTTTGTTGGTACAAGAATTTTTATATTGGCATAAAATTATGGAAGTGTATCATATATAAGCATTTCTAAACGAGTGTAAACATTAATTACTAATATTCCGTAAAGACGCTATAACTGAAGTTGAAAACTGAAATCCATAATATCAACTTCTGAAATTCTAGGTCCTACAAGTGGTTAATACCTGTAAATGGAGTAACAAAACTTGGGCCTTAAGTATTAAAATTTCTCTGCACAGGCCTACAAGTAAGTAAAATGGTGATTTAAATCCATCACATTACTTCTGAGAAGTTACTCTCAATCTGGTACCAGACACATTATTATTTAATCTAAATTCAGGGGCCTCAAAAATCCTGATATGATGAATAGGATGGAAACCTGTACAAAGCAATTAAAAATATAAGAACATAAATATCTGTAACTTTTAAATACTTACCCCTTTGCACTGATAATAATGTATTGTCATCTCTCCAAAGTTTAGACAAATGTAGTTACAATCTCGAAGAGGACATCTAATGTACCCTTTTTCCACCAAAGAACTTTTCCAATAGTTAGTGAATTGTGGCAACAAGCGTCTGCTAGATGATCGGCGTCTAAAAGATCAAGACCATGATCAGGTAACATATCGAATCTATTCTAGAAGACAAGTACACATTTTTATCAATCATTTATAAATTGTATTATCTGAAAACGAATAAGTAATGCTAATGAAACATGAAGCTTCAGTTCATCCTGCCATTAGCTATTAGAAATAAGTTCTTCAAAATTTTTAGAGCAGGTCCCTCTCCAAATGATTACCAAAACAATTTTCGCATTAACAATGTAGAGTGTTTATTTAAAATCTAACTTGAAAACTAAACAACATTTTGTTAGAATAGCATTAGTTTGCTGAAACATATCAATGCAGGTCTTAATTTTTCAAGGTCACTCCATTTTAATAACACATCTTTCAAAATTTTAAGATGCAATAAAAATTTGAGATTTCCTTCAATTAATAATGGAAACAGTCCATTGAAATGAACTAAAATAGAGAAAATGAAAATGGACTCACAAACACAGGCGGCAGATTTTGTTCTGATTAATCAAACCATACTAAAATCTAGCATTCCAGTTTACACACAACCAAGATGTTTCATGCAGGGTACAAACCTAAGCTTTCCTATTAACCAGTTCAAGACACCAAGCCACTGATACTGATTAACTTTGACTAAAAATATTTCTGTAATGCTAGTGAAACAAAACAGAAATTTATGATAATTTCCTAAATGTGAGTAATGTTATATAAGCTAAATATAGGAAGACTGTTTTCAACATTGTTCCTAGCAATTACATTTCGATGACATTGAAGTAATCTTAATTTAGAAGAAAACAAAAAATGGTAAAATATTAATTTTGTAAGAATTGTATTATAAATGATTGTTTGCAGGTAATATACATTAAAGGTCTGACAAAGAAATACAAAATGTTGAAAATTCATACTGCAGGAGGCTAATAGATTTTTTTTTTAAAGAAGTGATGCAGAGATGGAAAACAAACAATCTTTCCTCTAACCTTAGATTATGACATAATTGAAGGATAAATTTTCATAAAATGAATTCACAAATTTTTGAGAAAATATGATAAATAGTGGAAAGTGGCAATTGCGCTTGTGCCAGAGTTGATGCTACTGAATACAGTAATACTGAAATAATTTTACAAGTGAATATTCATGTGAGTTTCAGATTTATCTGTTCAATGTCAGATATTACGAGTCAGGTCTGAATTAGCTGAGAAAACTAAATAATTGTGTTTTGTTCAGAGTTTTGCGCAAGCATTCATTAAGAAGTTCTTACGAAATTAACAATAATATAAAGAAAAGTGGTCTAAATTTTTCAATTCAACAAATATATCATGCTTTATCCAATACACTTTACAATATGACTACTCAATTTTGAATACATCTTAACTGTGCAGAACTCGTTCTTTCACGGAATTTTACCAATTTTATCACATTTAAATGACAATTAAAGTTAATTAATGATGGTCAACTTTAAAGTGACATATTGCACATAATGATCACCATTTAAAGCCCTCACTGAGGAGTAGAAACTCAAGTGCTTTAGTAGCAAAAGGATTATTACAAAAACATATCAAGTTGCTTTATTGTAAAGTAATGAGGGCAATTATTTCAATTTCTGTGGGCTGACATGATTATTTTGAGATGACATTTTCTGAAATGTAGGATATTAGTAAGTAAAATTTTAACATAAAAACTAATAAGTATTTGAGTAAAAGAAAAACAAGAATTGTAGAGTACATTTCAACATTGTGTACAAAGATCACAAACTACATTTTTCATGCAATACGTATTATGTAACAGCAAGTGATGCATGCCTCTACACATCTACAAGAAATACCCAACTCCACAACACAAATAAAAAATATAAACAAAACTTTGTACCCCTTGACAATTTTTTTAAATTTGGAACCATCATATGCACCGTACATTTTATGATATTTCATTCTTCAAATTATTGAGGAATACTGAAACTACCCAAAACCTTTCTTTGACCAATTTCACTACAAAATGGAATGTTTTTATCAAAGCCCAGTGTTTTCATATTTAGACATTGAATCATCATTTCACATTCCACTTCTCAACGTATTTTTAACAAAATATAAATTATTGCAGATGTGGTGTTATGAACATGAGAATGTATTTTGTAGGTTCTACTCTTCACGTGGTCTCCTCAGGATAGTTTCACAGCTCAATCCACACGTTTCATTCACATAAGTGCATACACCCAATCTACGCATTACTGTCATATTTTAATACCAATAACTGTAAGGTGACTGGTGAGTTTATTTTCATAAAACTGCTTCCTTCCCTTCAGATCAATTAACTCTCATATCACCAGATAATCAATATTTTAAAACATTAACATAGATTTGAGAGATTCAGCTATTTTAAAATAAATATTAATTAAAAAATAAAATTCAGAGAGTAAATTAAGATAATCCATGAAATAAATCCGTGCAAGCACGTGAATATTTATTTTTAATACCAATTGAGGTATATTTCTTTTTCAATCAAGCAACAAACTTAACTCCCTTCAAGTACAAAGTGCAAAAAAAAAGGCACCTCAATAGTAAATTCCAAATGGACTAGACTTTTTCACTACACCTACATGTTAATTAAGAAGAAAATATGATTGGGATCTTAATTTTAAGCAATTATCAGTTTAATATTCTTACATAAAAGACTTTTTCAGAGGAGAAAGATTGTGAAATGCTTCTTCTAATAGTTTTCCTAAGAGTACATACCTATCTCCTACAATTAATCTAAAAGACGACATACGTTTGTATTCATCACAATTCATAACAGATAAATTTTAAATCACATTTAATTAATGACAATAAAAAAGTAACCTTACGATACCGAATTCTGGAGAACACATTTGCCTGTTGCTCCATACATAGAATTCCAATACAAAATTTATTTGATCTACGATAAAAATGATACTCATCAATTCTCTTCATTGCAGTTTAATTGATGTTATGTATTTACTCCAGGAAACTTATGAGTCTATTTCATGTATAAAGTTTCCTAATACTTTCATAAACAAGTGCTCTTACAAATTAATTACATACATCTTCATTTCAGCTTGGTGATCTTGGAATCAAGCGTTTCTTTCTTAGTTAATGGAATAACACAAATTCTCTCAATTTTGTTCAACTACTCATTTGTCACTAGTATATAATTTATTCTTTTTAGGTCATTGACGGAAGGGAGAAATATAAGTGAGTCAGATTGTATCTCTGAAACAATCATCTCAACACAAAAATATTTTATCACAACAGGCAACTGACCATCACGTAATATAAAGGCAATGTCTGCCCTTTTCTACAGTATAACGAGAAGTTGTTTTTCCTTTCAGATTATCTCCATGAAGTCTAGAAATTATCAATACCAGCTTTCTTTCTTTCTTACTTACCACAATATCAAGACATCGACTATTGACAAAAAATATTCTATGTGTCTATTTCTCAAAAAATTTGTTTTTTGTTACAATAAATTACATACTTAAGCAAAGTAACCCTTCATTGCCTAACGACAAAATAATCATTCTATTCAACATTATTCATCTTAAGAAAAATAAAAAGTCTGTCTACTAATTTTATAACTAAGCTTTTTTCACACTTAAAATACACAACTCTACAGTCACCAACTCCTGAACACATTCTCATCTTCCTCTGCAAAAATCAAGGTACTTGAAGATATTCATTACTCTTATATCTGAAATAAGGTTTTATTATAATCTTCAATCTTCATGGACTGACTTGATTTGTGATAATTTTAATTCTAAATGTTAGTTAGCCTTGAAGAAAATTGTTAACATTTACAACTGTCACATTACCTTAAATATAAGTAAATACTGTAATAAAATAAATGAAACTTTCATTACAATTCCTTCTCGATAGAAAAATTAGTTCTTAATTCACTTTCACTAAATCTACTATAAACTACAAATTTGATTAAATGAATTTTTCCATCAATAAAATTTCCAAGAAGGCAGTTGAGCACATCTCTATTTTGCCTTCTATAAGGATATCTTATTTTTCTCCTTTTTTATATTCAACAGAACAATTTGATTTTAACAAAGTATCACGATTTCTTTTTCATTCTCTATTTGTAATATAATTAATTTCATCATTCAGTTTTCAATGCATTTTTAACTAAATGCAAACGATTGTAGCTGTAGCCACACGAACTCTTAAATTACCGTATATTTGAAACTCTTGCATTACTCAAATTTGCACTGAAAATCTAAACAGATAATCTGTTAGTTTTGGATGAAAGCAAATTTTTTTTACACTGAATAAACCAGTACATGAAATATTTAACTGATATTTTTATTTTATTCCTAATTATCCACAATATTCAAAGATTTTTTAAAAATATAATGAGCATTTTCCCTCTATTATATGGAAAAAAATTACAGTCTAAATTATGCTTCTATAGCAATCTTAATTGGATTTCACATAACGTTCAGGTAGTTCCACAGAACCATTTAGGCATGTCACGAAAAATTCAAAAAAACAGACAAATTTTAGAAAGTTTTCTTCCTTAATTTAAAAAACCATAATGCAATGATCATATTAAATCTTACAAATGTACGAATACATTGAACAATCACATTGCATACTTATAAAACACAAAATTAATAATTTCTCCCCCTCATTTGGTTATATAACAAATTAGATTCTTCACAATTGTATACTTCTCTTGTAATAATCCCTAAGCAAGGTTAGTCATGCAGAATCCAAAAATCTGTGTAGAACTAAATTTACTACTTGACCTTATACAGAGTGAAATCACATGGAAATATAAATCTTTGTCATTAGATGCTTAGATATCCTACAATTTTTACTTTCAAACTACTGAGTTTATTGCTGAAAAGCACAACTCGGGAAATGACCATATTTGTTTACAGTAGAGGGCCTACCTTAACGCTGTTCAAATTCTGACAATATGAAATCTTCAAGAAGATCCAGCTAGTACGTTTTTAAATATGTAAATATAGTTCTCAAACTGCATTGGACAAATACAATACAAAATAACTCTTCTAAATATACAATTTGCACCCCAAAATAAGCATACATAATAGCATAAAGTTATTAATTGTGCTTGTGTATGAAAGGCAAAACATACAAGCATTACATTGTAATTACAAATGTTCACACACTATATATCTGAACAATATATCACAAATATATATGTAGCGAGAGGCAGACACACAAATACAAATATTTACCATTCAGAATGAAATCTGGAGTACGCATTGTAAGATACTTACAGAGTCCACACACCCAGTGCTGATCACACAGATGCAAAAATATAATTATCCTAAGTCTTTACAGGGACATACCTTAGTTGTTTCAAACTAAAAAAATCCTGTTTACTTACATAAATATTGACATACAATTATATTGCAATGCAATTGCAACTTAAACAATAACATCTTAAAACACAATTTTTTTATTTTATTTAAAAAAATTGAACGGGTTAAATTAAGGGCTGGTGAATGAACTTCATGATTTTTATTGTCAGTAATATATGTATACAAACTTAAAATTACAATTTTTAAATTTATAATTGTACCTATATGTTTTGTTAACTTACATACTGCCTAAAAATGTGTACTGGATTATTGCAACTTTTCAGTATTTTTTGAACAAAGAGGTCACAACTTTTCTTTCAAAAGCAAAACATTAACTAATATTTTTATTGTTTATTGAGTGATGTCAAAAATGCATGAGAAACACAATGCACACACATGTTCCTAATAACATGATAACTTAAATAAGTATTTACACATGCTCAAGCTACCATATCAACATAATGCACTAATTTTTAGGTCTCTTTTGTTATTAACTCTTAACTTACGCAAACATTGGTCGAGATGAACTAGCACCCAATGCGTTAGTCCCAGGTGTAGAAATCTGTGAACATAAAAGCAATAAAAGTTAACATTCCAAAAAGACACTGCAGATGCATTGCTTCTCTAAACATAAGGTCTCATTTTAGTTTGCTAAATAAGTTTCAATAACAATGAAAATGCAAAGTTGGCTGAATCTTTAATGTTTTGGGCAATAAAACATTTTTAAAATGTTCCAATAATTATGTTCAGTATCATGAATAATCTTCTTCTGCAACAGCTGGGTTATTGATTTAAGAGAAGTCAGCATTGAAAAAAATGAAAATGTTTTAATAAAATCCAACACTATGGGTATTTTTGAGTTTCATTTGAATGAATAGAATGGTTTGCTCCATTCTTTGAGCTTTACAGTTGGGTCTCAGCAGAGACAGTGTTGTCGCAATTAACTGCCCTTGCCATGTGTGGGTTGTATACTGGTTTCTTGGCCAACCTCAAGCAAATACCAGATTTTAGTCCTATACTTTGATCTATTCCTGTCCAATACAGAATACTTTTAATGATGTGTTACTTTGATATTGGGTATCAAATGCATGGCAGAACCGCTCAGCTGACAACACTATCCCATTCATTTATTTATTCTGAGTTGGTGGCAAGAAGTGTACGTCACTTGAAAAGCTTCTGCTATTGCACGTCACTATGAAACTGTTGCAGACACTTTTAAAGGTCAACCAGTTTCATTACAATGTGTAGTACAAGGTATATCAAAGGATTAACCCACACACACATGCACACATTTTTGATGCAAGACAAATATTATAATTTCCAATCACATAAATGTTTTTTAGTATCTTTAATAGTATTAAGGTTGGATGGGCTTGCTAAAAATTAGTTAATATTTCGCTTTTATAACATTTTACAATATTTAAATTTTGTAGCCCCAAAAAAGCTGGTTGCAAATTACAGTAAAAAAATTCAACAAAAACCTTGAAAAATCAATGAAACGAAAAAAGAAAAAAACAATCAGAATGACAACTCTATAAAATTAAACCTCAAATCCATAGGTGTAATTTTCACTCAGACTCTGTGTGCAAGTACCTGTGTTCTTGAAATTGCAAAACTCCAATATTTTATGCTAAAATTGTGAAGTTGATTCCTTTTGTTTTTGCCATCCCATGTCAACAACACTGCAGGGTTCAGCCTTCATGATTTACAGGCAACATACCTGCACTGTGTTATTTGGTAATTTTGTGTTGTACAGAATCAAGGATGGTTTAATTACAAAAAAAATGTGTGCACGCAAGCACACACACACAAAGAGCGCTCCAGTGGAGTGATCAAGCATATGAAAAGTTAACCAATTCTCCTTTCATTATTAAAAAATACCATTAAAATTACATCCTAAATTAAAATGCAAAACTCAATACAACTATACCTTTGTTACCGGTCTGTGCACCTGGAGCTCTCTGGCTGCTCCTTTCACGACTTCTGCACTAGCCACATAGCCTCTTTTGGGTGTTGTCTTCACTGAGCTACTAGACTGACCACTTTGAATTTGAATTCCTTCAGGTGTTTTTATGAATGCCAAGGACATTGCTGCATTTGAGTTAGGTGCAGCATTATGAGAGACAGTACTTTCAATAGCTCTCTCTGTCAAAATCACTCTTCCATTTTCATTTTTTGCTACCAGACCAAGACTGTTCAATTGGGATGGTGGCAAAACAAACACTTTGTAACTTTGAGGTTTTGATGCTCCAGGACTAGGTGATGGTGATTGTTGTGAAATTATTATTCGTGATGATGACTGGATTACTCCAGCCACTGGAAATGCCTCCTTTTCACCTGAAGCCATAATTCTGGGTGCAAATGTTAATCTGTAAACAAAAGTAAATTAGATTGAAAAGAGCGTTTCTGACTATTAACATTACAACACTGAACACTAATAGTTTAAAACAACATAAAATAAAAGATAACTTAATAATATTTAACGAGTTAAATGGCCAAAACACAGAAACATAACCGGAGCACACCAAATGTGGTTAGATCGTATAAACAAAATTAACTGCATTAAACATTGTGGTAAAAAGATATATATAGGGAGAGAAAACTACAGTTAACGTGTGAAATTTAACACATCAATTGAACTTGTCAACACATTCTCTAAAAGAAGGGGCAAAATTCGTGCTACTCTACATTGTCAAATATGCACAGCATGCCTCAGTGTAAACAATCTCGGCAGTAAATTTCCTAGATTCTTAATATTACAATTTTCAGTTTTTTTCATCTACTTACCAACTAACACATCACTTGCGGCACTACACGCGGTCACCCTACGGGTGGTGTATTGAATCATGCTCCAACCATATTAGTCTACCATTCCTCGCCATTGCTCAAATTCTTCGTCCTAAGTCCATTCCACCTCCTCTCTCCTGTCGTCCTATCTTAATCCCAGAGAACCAGAACCCTCGCCTCGATCTCTCGATCTCGAAGACACGCAAGGTAGGCATCAAAGGTGTCTCACTCTCTGGTTCTGCTGGTCTTCTCATTGGCTGAAGAGAAATTGCTACTGCATAATTTCGTGGAAAATAATAAACCCACAATACCCAAAATTTCTGATAAACTGATATTTCATATTTTTTACAAATTTGACAAGGATACGATTGAGTATATTGTAATCTTATTCGTGACACTGAATAAAATCTCAAAATTTTCAATTCTCGTTGACATCTATCACAGTCCCGCAGCTCTGCACTTTTCAGTTTCCCGAATACATACGCAATACGGAGTAATATACGAAGTAAAGGAAAAGTTATGTAATGCTGCACAAAAAACGGTAGATTTTCAGCAGAAAAAAATAATTGCTTGATAACAAAAAGTGGATACATCCAGTTACTAATTTAAGAAGAAGAAAAAAAATTAACAATGATGTAGCCAGAATCCCTGCTGTCAGAGTCTGAGAAGTCAATTTACACCAAAACGTCCGTCTATGAACACTACTAGAGCCTAAACCATGTGTAGGATTGTTTCAATAAATTGAAGAAACCCCTGCCACCTGCCTCGAGACAAAGACTTTGAATTTTGAAAAACATTCTTTAAAACTCGCGGGTACTTTACATGAAGCACCCGGGCATTTTCAAGTTATTTCTCAAAAACGGCTCCAAATTTTTTCTTTAAACTTTTGGTAGGGATAGTGCTAAATGTACTCTAGAAGATTACATAACCACCATATTGTTCTATTCTTTTGTTTGTTTGTTTTTAATTACAAAATGTAATTTTTAATGCGTTTGTAACTGTAAAATGTAATTACAAAGGTGTAATTTTTTGACGTGTCTCTCACGTCGTTAATATTTATATTAGCGGTGATTAGTTCACATTATCATATTTATGAGTACATGTGCTTTAAATAATGTCATATAAAGTTTCTCGAAAACTCAACCATTTTCTGTGAGAAGTAGCTCAAAATTTCGCTTTGCCAGAAGCATTCAAACACCGTTTTCTCACGAACGGCTCAAAATGTTGTCTCGGAACGTTTAGAAGGGATAGTACTAATTGTATTGTTTAATATGGCATTAACATTGTTGCGGTATTTATGTTTTTTCAAAAATTACACAAATGTAATTGTTTTGAAAGATCTCTCAGACCGTTAATAAGCACATTTCCATCAATTTTTTAGATGCTTTTCTAGTTGTGAGTTAATGTGCGTTAAATGACTTTCAATGAAGTTTTTCGAAAACTCTAAAATTTCCTGTGAAAAGAGCTTCAAATTTCAAATGTACTCTAGAGCTTAAACGCCATTTTCATAAAAACGGCTGCAAATTTTTCAAGTAAAATTGTCAATTGCGACGATGTTTTACTGCTTTTTTAACATTCTTAAAATAATATTTCCGTTTTAGCATTAGGAACCCGAAAAATTAAGAAACTTTCAAAAAATTGTACTTTCGGTGGCGAAAGAATACATGGATGGCAAGAGTACGTGGCAAGTCCGAATAGCTTGCTGAGACCAAAGGAAATAGAAACCTAATACGAAAAAGTCTGTGCCATTTGCAGCAACACTAATTTATTTCTATGTTAATTTTCTTTGTGAACAAATATATACGTTTGGCGGGAAAGTGGTGGCTGACAATATCTGCTGTGGGCGTAAGCGATTTGTAGAGAATTACGTGTTTGGCTTGCGGTTGCCGAGGTGCGTGTCACTATCAAATTTGTAATTTACAATGATTTTTGTTTTCTTTCGGTTAATTTAGATTCTGGCAGTGAATTTCGTCGACAAATTGGATTTGAAAAAACACTTTTTTATCAATACCCGTCAAATCGCTAACTTTTTGAAAATGGTTCGAAGTAAATATTGTGAATGACGTCGTCGCTGTTGCTAAGATTCTGCTTTATAATAAAATGAAATGTATAAAATATTTGGTTTCACGTGCTCTTTCGTCCGATTTGTAAAGTTCCAACGAATTTCGAGCCCATGTGCTCTTACCGTAGAAGTGACCCCTTCCGGATATTTTTATAAACTGTCGTTTTTTAAAATATGGTTTCAGAAATTTGTATTACTTATTAACATCGAAAGAAATATTACCGACATTAAACTTTAAAAACAGGTCAGCAAAAAAACTTTTTTTCGGCGGCATGGGATATTTGTGCACAATTATATGTTTTAAAGGTCACAGATTCTAAAAATGGCTTCCAGAATGCTCCATCACGCATAGATTTTTTTGCAAAATAAAAATAAATATTTAATAAAAACACTTATTTTTATAGTGAACTAAATATATTTATATTCTTACAAGAAATCAAAACTTTGTTTCTGATATTAATTCACAATTTCAGGACTACACTTTTTTTTCTTGTGAAACCTTTTCTTTTTTTCTTTGATGCTTCGCCGCACGCGTTTTCGGTTTCTTTCTTTGGCTTCTCGATTGAGCATCCAACAGCCCCTATCTCGATCAGCTTTTTGTCTAGTTTCCCTGATCCATTAAGCAAATGCTGAGATGGCCCCTTGTTTTGCTTCTGGACATAGATGTTCATGTTTTATTGATCTCTCCTTTTGCTTGTAATGGTAGGAGTAGAGGTAAGGGCGAGTTACTTTTTTGTTAGCAATGCAGAAAATCTGATACCTGCAATTCGTTTGCCGATGCAAGTTTTCTGTAACTCGGGAACGAAAATGTCCATTTTTTTTCAAATATTGCTAATCTCGCGCTATTTTAAAATCTATTTATTTATTTCACACCTTTACTCATCTTTCAACTATTTTTCGTTGTTATTATGTTGAGCGATTCTGGAACTCAAGAAAGTGCGCAGATTATCTTCCACATATGTCACATACAGTTTTTACTGTTTGTTGATTAAAAAATCTAAATCAGTAGTCAGTAGTCGCTGACAGTTTACTGACATCTCATTTTCCTTGGAAACTTTCTTAAAATTACGGGCATCCTGATTAAATCTTTCATCCTGTTCTTCAGAATAATTTCCCAAGTTTTCAGAAAAATAGTCAATACAGGTGTGTAATAAATGAACTTTTAAGCTCATCTTGCATCCTTGAGCTTCATATGCTGCTAGCATATGCTGTACGATTGTTTTGGAGTCAGGGTCATTGGTATTCCTCAAAAACTTTTGCATTATATCGAAAAAGTGCCGCACTTGTTTCTTTGTCACCAATTGTTTCCTTAAAAGAGGGTAACAGAAGTTTTCTTATGTCGGGACCAGTGAAAACTCCCTCTTTTAACTTAGCTTGAGAGTGTCAGGAACTTGGTACACTGATATCTGAAACAATCCCCCAAATCTTGCCAGTGATTCGTGGAACTGCTTTATACACCACAATTTAATACGAAGAGGAGATAATAGTACTTGTTTGGGAGAACTAAGATCGTATTGATGACATTTTTCTCGGCGGTGGTTGAACTGCCTCGCGAAGGTCAATTAGTTTTTGTCCAGTGCAGTTGTTTGGCTCTAACCATTTCCGAACCATTTATTTATTTAGTCAAAAACAGTTAAAAATGTACGTGACGTACTATGGGGAGAAGTTAATTTGAAGTTACAGCATTTGCTGTGAACAATCTCAGCATTTGCTCAAGGATCAGGAAAACTGGACGAAAACATGATCGAGAAGAGGGTCATTGAGCCAGAAGCTGAAGTACAATACTTGTTACATGTTCTTTAGAATTATACAATCCAAATGATAAATAATACATTAAATGTCACTGTTAAAATTTATATTACTTTTCTTTCGGATGATCGGTGGCAGAAAAGATTTTATTAGGGACTTAAACTTTTGCATCGAATTTAATCGTTTAATGTCATCTCGCAAGGTGTAAAATAATGTACATGATACGTGAATTTTTTGTAGTGAGCTCTTGGTAATACACCTGATGATTATGATTACTACGTCGAGTGTTGTAGTTATAAGCAACGGCATTTGCTGAAAATATAGTCCCACCCTTAAGTAAGTCATTTTTAACAAAAACCACTGATTCATATATCAAGAGACAAGGTAATGCTAAAATACCTAGATTAATAAAGGGAGGCTTATTATTCGTAGAATTATTTTTTGTAATCTAAAAGTCTGGGAGCTATAAGATGTATTTCTCCAGAATATTATGCCATATCTCAGACGGGAATGGAATTCGCGAAATATACACAACGAACAGTAAGAAGGCTGACTAAATTTGAAAGAATTCTGAAAGCGTAGTATAATGAACTTAATTTAGTGTTCAATTCATTTAAATGGACGTTCCATTTTCGGTATGAATTGAACGACCTAAAATATTGTTACCTTATCAGTCAATGGCACACCATTCATTTTCAATGGAGTGCAAAGCTGTATATTTGAAACGGAAAACTGCATTGAAACAGTTTTCTTTTCAATAACTATTAATCTGTTATTACGGAACCGATTTAAAATATCTGTTATTGTACTATTTACGGTTTCTTTATTGCAAAGAATTGCAAGAACTGCATGCTCTCGTAGCTCAGTGGCGAAGTCGCATTCATCACTGCGTTTCCCGGTTCGATTCCCATAGAATCCCCGTCGAACCTTGTGTGAAATTTGTTACGACCAAGGATACAGCTAGTCTAACCCCTGTGAAACGTCCATACCACAAATCTGGTCGATTGGTAGATGACGCGAGCGCGAAGACGCTACCTATCGGCGTTTCCCTAGGTTGACTACGACTGACGTGACTTGACTAGACTACCCAGTGGCCCCTAGAGGGTGCTGGGTGCATGATAAAAGGAGGCTTACTCCTACTAATTAACGGAGTATTACTCCACGGTGCGCTCAACGCACCTAGGAGCTAGGAGATGCGTTGCGTATTTGCAAGCAACCAATCAAAAAAATAACTAGATAATCATATCATCCGCAAAGTTTCACATCATCCGTTTCTAATAGTCGAGGGCATATCATTTACGTATAGTAGGGAAGAAAATAGGGCCTAAAATCGATCCCTGAGGGATTTCAAAGGTGTATACATTAAGTTCCGTATTCACTAAATATATAACAGAAGTCAGGAGAAATTACACACCCTCGGCATATTTCAGAAATAAAATAACAATATCAGTATCGTTTGGATTCTGAATATAAACTGAGTGTAGAATGAGAATGAACTTACTTTGCTTGTTGAAACATGATCTAATACAACTATAGATTGTTTATATTTATTCCTAGTACTCCAGACAAGTTTAAACTTGCTCAACTTTTAACACGTTTCGACATGATCGTGTGACCTCCCGGTTAACCCTAATGCTACTGCATCCACCATCCCTTACCACTACCCTCTTCTTATTAACATTTGTTTAAAAATAAATTGCCACTTTTGGCTATAATTGACACAATTATTGTGAGAACTTTTACTTTTTTGGTCATTTTTTAAACAAAAAAACATAATAGTATATTTTAAGTAGGAGTAAATACAAAGAAAACTAGTGATGCTACAGGAAAGCACAGATTTTCCCAAATTAGTTTTCTTTTTCATTTCCTCCTTTTTAAGTGTATTTTACTCATTGTTACAAGAATTTTAAAGAAAAAATGGATTTGCTTTTGAGAAAATTTTGAAAATATCGGGGTGAGGGTGGGCTTCATGTAAAGTATCTCCAAATTTTGAAGAAAGTTTTTCAAAATCGTGGCGCCTCTAGTGGAGCCTGATCGACCGTGGGATATCCGTTTTGGAAAAAAATCGTACGTATGGTTTAGGCGTTAGTGGTGTTCATAGACGGTCGTTTTGCCGTCAATTGTTTTTTTGGTATCTAGGACCCACAAAACAGGGATTCTGGATACACCATGAAATGGAGGATTTTTTCTTAATTTAGCAATTGGATTTATCCACTTTTTCCTTATCAGGGTCCTGGAATGATTTTTTTCTGCCGAAAAGTCGCCGTTTTTTGCGCATTACATAAATTTCCCTACACTACGTATATTACTCTGTATATTGTGGCGTCACCAAATAAAATTATAATAATTTCGTATCGAAATAGCTCCCATCACAGTTANNNCAATCGTTACAGGAACTGAACCTGGCGCCCGACATATCACGACGAAGTAATGGGCATTACAATATACGTTTGTGTACGGAAAAGTAAAAACTATGGATTGATATAGCAAACACAATAGAACAAAAATGTTTTTGTAAGCTTGAACAAAAACCCAGGAGTGGAAAGTTTCGTATTTATAAATCATATTTAAATCACCTACATAAATTACTTATAACACTACTGTTTCCAAGTAGTATTCTTTTGTGTTTTGCTGGAGTAAATAAATGTATATTTGTAAGTCATCCGATTCATGCAGAAAGATTCATCGGCAAACAATATTATTAACATACCTATTCTGTAGCTTGATTTCTAACAGAGCTTTGTATTTCCATTTTCTTTCCATAACATCAATATTCTGAAATATTAAAAAATGTGGGACCGACACTGTCTTACACCTTGATTTCTATTCCCGATGACAGTCTGCCGCGGACGTTATCGAGTTTTCACAGATTCTTAATTATGCATGCAGGAGACTCGAGTATTTTGTTTTGCGTAGTTTTCCAGAATTTCTCTTTTTAACTTCTTAAATGCCTTCACGTTATTAACGAAAGCAACATGCATCTCTACTTCTTTTTTCTACGATCTATGTTTGAAGGAAAACATCTTCTGCTTGTCCTTTTCTAAAACGAATTTGTTCATCTAATAATAAAACATACATTTTAATTTTTCATTTAAAATCTTACTTAATATTTTATAACCCACATTCAAAAGGCAAATTTCTCTCCGTAATTACCAGAGCATTTTTTCGTCCTTTCTTGAAGAACATTATGACTTTTGCCTTTCTCCAGTCCTCAGATATTGTGTTCATTTGTCAACACATATTTAGCAAGTGGAGAAATCTCTTCATTAAGTATTTGCGTCCACAATTAATAAGTTCTGCATTAATTCGACCTGTATCAGTAGCATTTAATTTTCATACGTAGACAGTATCTTTTTCTGTTCATCACATATTGGATAAATTTTGTTGATTTTGTAAGTATTGTGGCAGCACAAAGCTTTTAATTTTATGGTTATTTTCAAGGACCAGCTCCATAGAATAATGTGGAAATGTTGCGTAATATGCCAGGAACACGGGATTGTTTTGTGTGGACACTTCGACGGCGCAGCGGAGCAACCGCCGCTCCCCACTCTAAGGCCGCTTGCCCACGCCGCCACGCTGGTGCCGCGAGGGGCAGACCACGACTCCCCCCGTTGTTTACGCCAGGATCCGACGCGGTCCCTACGCCCTTTCCAACCCACCACGCTCCCGAACGTGCACGATCCAGCATGAGTGAAAAACTGTCCTGGACGTTCCAGATAGAAAATATTACGACGAAGTAAATAGCAACGCAGGCACCACTTAAACGCACAGCTGCGTTGTTTTCCCACTATAAACATTCTGATAAAGCGAGATGGAGATAGGGAAATTTCCAGAGCAGAATTATTCGGTGGTTGGCCCGGAAGCCTGCCTTCACGCAATATCTCCTGACCAATGAGAGTATAAAATGTTGTAGAAAGGAGGAATCTGGGATCTTAGAGGTTTGATGGAAGGGGAAATCGAAAGCAAGGACGTTCTTGTCAGGCGACCAAGAAAGACTTTTGGCAAAAAATTCATAGGAGGCACTTCCTATTCTGATAGAGAGGCAATTGTGATGCAAACTTTTTTGGGTCCTTTGGAGGCTGCCACGCCTTCCCTGGGACGCACGACGCCGGAATCAACAGCTGACTGGTCACCGACCTCGTGGAAGCAACGGAGGCCGCATGTGGTGAATTGTACTCCGGAAACCGAGCAAAAGGATCCAAGTATGCCCTTCAGCCTCGGTATTTATAGACTATTGGCTTATTGTCCCTTCCCACGTGCAGCGGGCGTCCGCTGCTGCGGCAAGCGATGGCGGGCTCTCGCTACGCGAAGTGGAGGAGAGGGTACCCGCCACCGCTATATAGCAGAATACGGCAGCGCATAGATGCTGTTTGTACCTGCTGAGAGCCCTTTGTCCGTCGTCGCCAGAGGGTCGACGAAGAGACCTGCTGATTGACGTACGCGCGCTGCCGTTGCGGCGCAGGAAGGCGACCTTACTCCAAAGGGAGAATTAAATTGTTACTGCATTTAAATAGATATGGCCTGCGCTTTGGCTCAACCTAAACTTTCTATAACCATAATAAGACTAATTTTTATAATTCTAATCTCAGAAAAAAGTATTAAAGGGGTTTAATATACTTTTAGCTCATTTCATTAAATATTGTTCATTGGTTCCGTCTAAATACTTTTCTTAATTTTAACAATGCTCATTATTCCATCCATTGAAACAGGTATCCAGCACAAACCAGAGCTAGCCGTAGCGCTACCATCATAATTAAAATTTATAACACAACAGGTTTGTAAAAGAATAAATGACAATAAATATAATAAAGGATGTCAATGTTACAAAAATTTACTCTGAATATATACAAAATTATGTATAACAACAAAATATGTGAGAGTATCATCCTATGCATATTGTGCATAGATATTACAGTTTCTTGCAATGTTGGGTTACATTAGATCAAAAGTAATTGCCTGCTTCCAAGAATTTTAGGTAACTTTTGATAGTTACAGATTTGTATACTTCACAAAAGCATTGAGAAATCAGATAATATAATTAAACAAATATGCATATCACATTGTTCTGAACCAAAGTAATTTTTCATTCTTTGCGAAATTGGATTTTTGCCAACAATTCTGAATAAACATTTCCATCTTGTTGTAAACTCTTCTTTTTTAAATACTCTGCAATCTTAGTCTGCAAAATAAGGACAGAGAGTTACAATGAAATAACAATGACAATTCATTCATTTTAACTAATAATATTTCTTAAAAATAAATCTTACAACTTGCTTAGGGTCCACACAATTGTGCTTCTGTGCCAGATTCCAAAGATTAACTGCAAGATTTAACAATGCACCATCTTTTAAATTTCCTCTTATCATCACTCGAGAAAAAAGGGACACAGCCAATGTTGCCTAAAATTAAATATGCTTTATTAAGAAATACTCTGAATTTTTTAACTTTTAATATTATTTTATTATTTACACTGTTCATCATACTTGGGCCTGATACTGTTCGTTGATACCTAAATTTTTCAGATGTATCAAAATTTCTTCCAATAATATACTGCACATTTTATTAATTTCTGTAATAAATTTTGGGTCTGAACCATAAAGAGTATCATTTGAATCAACTACAAAAGAAAACAAAAACAATGATTAAGGAAACAAAACTGTAAGAATGACCCCTACACCCAGTCACAATACAAGAAAATAAAAAATGTGTATTTACCTTTTTCAACATGATACAAATAATATTCTTGTGAAGCTGCAGTTAACATATCAAGGACATTCATGTATATCACTGCTTGTGCATTACACGATAAATCCCATGGGTATTGCTGCAGGACGTTTATCAGTGCTCTAGTCAAATATAAAACACCTTGTTCTGGATTATCCTGTCAACCAAATAATTAATTTTTTTCAATTTCTGATGTTCTCCTTGAATTAGGAACAATCAGGTAGTGAAAGATGAAATGATTCAGTCAGTTTTAACCATTTATTGGAAAACAATGTTTCGAAGAAAGTTGTTCTCAAAAACATTACATCAAACACAATTTGAATTACAATGTACAATTTAATGTTTGATTATGAATAAATGTCTTCAAAATGTTATCCATTAAATTAAAATTGACTGAACAACTTTTCATCTACTACCTGAAAGTCCCTTACAAAGAAGTTCATTGGAATAAATATATCAAATTGGACAATCCCGTAGGAACATCAACATTTGCTTTTCTTCTCAGAAAAAAGCTGACTTGCCAACACTTGCATTTTACCTCCTAAGCCAAATGCTTAATTCATTTTATTCATATTCAATTGATTTGATAATATATATGGAACAACCAACAACACAGACAACCACTTACTGGAACAACCAATAAAGTTGACAGAAATTGACTGACATATGACACCAAATATGGCTCAGTGCTTTTCTGTTTACCATCTACATCCATTGTAGGGGGAAGTTCTGGAATAATGCTTAAAGCAGCTTTAAAGCATGCATCAGCTGCAACAAACATTCACATTAACAAGTGGAACAAATACTAATAATAGTAATAACAATACTAATAATTATTATAGTTTAATAAGTTGAAAATAACTAGTAATAAACAACTGTTCAAACAATTTCATCATAGGAGGGGAAAGAAGAAGAAATTATGATGATGATGATAAATATAATAATAATAATAATAATAATAATAATAATAATAATAATAATAATAATAATAATATTTTTTATAAAAGAATTCTAGAGGTAGTGTTACTTGTTGAGGTATTCACCAGAACATTACAAAGAATCAATATGACATTGTCTAGGCTAATTATGAAAAAGACTATTTTTGCACTTATATGAGTGACATGCAAGAAATTAAAATTAAAACAATGATATACATCACACAAACAAACCTTGTCCAAGACACTGGTTGAGAAGAGCAACTTGTCCTGATAAAAGATATAGTTCCAGTCTTGTAAATACCGATGTAATTGATGGTATTGTTATGTAACAATAAGCAGCACAAGCTCTCACGAATGCAGCAGTTTTACGTGTATGATGCCCTTTAACTATACAACGAGTTTCCACAGCTAAACGATTAACACTCTGCAAGAAAGGACAAATAATTCTCAACATAAATTTTTGAATATGCTTAATGCAAACCTTACAATGATGGTGATATCTTGTAAAAAGAAAGGAAAATTTAACTTTCTAACCATACTTTATTCACAGTTGGAAGCAAATAATTTATTACAATTTTTGTTTTGAAACCAACTGCTGCGACTTATATGCATCAACAATTATAGAAAGCTAGATGTATAATCACAAACTTCTCCAGATAACATTAGATGACATAATAATTCACAGTAGATTTTTGTTTTTTTTTTGTTTTTTTGTTTTGCTAATTAAGGTCGCATCAACTACTAGGTCATTAGCGACCACTATTGCTTGTAACGGTATGGTAACTGTGGGTTGACACGATAATGACGATGATAGGGGGTGAAAGGACGAAACACAATACAACCATGCCCGAGGTGGGACTCGAACCCGCAATCCTTCGGTCCGAGTTCGCTACGGCTCTACTGCCTTAGCGATCTCGGCCACCGGATCAGCTACAGTAGATTTGTTGTTCCTTTCGTTTGGGATTTAAAGTGCGCTTCAACAGTTATGGTCACTATGCCCAACTCAAATAATTTAAAGCAGTAATACAGATTATAAAAATACTGTTGCAGATAGAAAAATATGATAAAAAAGACTGCTAGAAGCACACCAACAGACCAGTTCCCAAAGTCAATAGCTCAAAATTCTAAGTTTTTAGATATTGTCATTTCAAGCTTTAATTTCACCCTGTTAGTTGACATTACTTCAATTTGAAATTAATAGCTTAAAAGAACAAGATTAATAATAAATTTCAAATCCAAGCGATGAAACTGACATTTTCAGGTCAATATTAAAGTTTGCAAAGGCAATATATCAAAACATAATTTTGAGTTGTTGCCTTTTGCAACTAGATTGATGAAAGACCTAAAAGCAACACGAGATATTTTACCCAGAAACTGCAAAACACATAAAAACATACAAGATTTGGAAAATTGGATGTATAGAGGCCAAGTAACATAAAAAATTAGCAATATTGTCCGGTCTCTAAAATCAAATGGTATATTTCACTTTCCTCCAGAAAGGAAAAGAGAAGCTTGTTTTTGCCGATTGCTACCTGTAGAGAGCTGTCCCAACAGCTACAAAAGTTGCAATGGATGTTGCAAGGCCATGTTAAAACTACTTCCTCATATACTCCAAAATTCTTCATACCATACTAGGGCTTTATAGAATCCTTAATCACACTTAATTTAAGAGCGGCATTGGGCCACTGTCCACAATGCAGTGTCACAGAAATATCTATAAATCTGCTAAGAGGTAGAGGGAATACCAATATCAGATTTCCAAGTTGCTGTTTTTGCAGTCGAGTCAGATAACGCAATGCCTCTGATTCCCACATGACCCACGAAATAACAGCAAGACAATAAACAATTAACCACATATTGTATTGTTGTTTCTAGGAGTAGGATAGTCTGAAGGAGAAAGGAAGTCATGAATACAGAGAATCATAGGAGAGAAGAGTTATTTTTTCGAGGGTATGTGGAAATCGTCAAAAGACACTGGGTAGCCCGTACTACCCACCGTGTAAGATTTTTACTCACTAAAACTGAACCTCCCTTCTCCTTCATCCTCTCCGCGGAACCGCCTATAGGCGGATAGGCATCGTGGAGAGTGGAATAGTCACATAGAGTTAGTCAAGTGAGGGAATAGTGATATCCTTCCTTCTTTCCTTCTTTTCTCTATGCGATAAAATTCCAGCAACAAGTCTTGTGCAAATTGTGTATAAGACATACAGAGGGGACACAGCATGGGCAGATATCGGTAAAAGATTACAGAAATCAGATTAATAAAAGAGGGGAGACCATCCTTGAAAATACGATGTACAAGCACAGAACTGATGTAGGCAAGTTTTCCTTTGTGAATCGCACTAATAGTAGATTGGAATAACTACCTGCAGAAGCACTAGAGGCTCTCTTCTAATGTAGCCAAATTTAAATTACTTCATTCCATCTTAGAATCAGTCTCGAATAATAATGACCGAGACTTCTTTTATTATTATTATTCAATTATATTAATTATTATTATTATTATTATTATTTTATTATTATTATTTTTTATTATTATTATTATTATTACTATTATTACTTTTATTCATTATTATTTATTATTATATTATTTATTATTTTATTATTGGTCATAATTATATCTCATGGCCTAATACAGTGAGTGAATGTGAAAGTGTTAGTGTAGTGTTTGGTGTTACGTGATAAGTGTACAGTGATGATGAAAGTATAGCGTCGACAGTATTAGTACGTTATCAGGGCGTGTTAGATGAAGCTTTACCGGAACTAGACAACATTAAGATCGCCAGAGCTCAGAATCAATATTATTTTGGCCAATGTGTTTCATAGACGCCACATTGGTAAATGTTTTAAGAATTGTTTCATGGTAGATGAGTATCTGGCACAATGGGAAAATTAGTAATTGGTGTTACATTTTGGCGGACTTTTTGGCGGGGCTTTTTGGCCTGCACCGCTTCTAATATTTCATAGAGCTCACATCCGTAGTTTTGCTGATGATGATCATTATACTGCTAAAGCCGACTCATTTTATAGAATACTTTAATCTATCCTAGTATGTTAAATGATGGAAACCTGACCCTCTAAAAAACGCTAACTGTCGTTTTCTATCAGAAGTACGATAGCCAATAGTTCGCATACAGGCAACTCTGAACTTAGGCATGTGTATTATAGTGAATATATAATTGCATACATGTTGTAAAGTATGAATGAGAAATTATTGCAAGATCATTTAAAGACTACATTTATTAATTTTTAAATATAATTGTAACAAATAGTTTATAAATCATCATACTATGTTGTAAACGACTTACA